CCAGATTTGCCTTGAACTGACAGAGACCCCCCTGCCTCTGCCTCCTGCGTGCTGGGATTAAAGGTGTGCACCGCCACCGTCTAGTCTGAAGCAGACATTTTTCATTCAGATGTACAGACAGGGAAATGAGGCTCAGAGAGGTTACACGTCCCATAAACAGAACTTGAACTGCCCCTCGTGCCCACGTACTGACCACAAAGCTATATGCAAAGTGGCTTTTACAGCCTCCTGCGCTGGTGTGGCACTTGGCCAGTTTGAAAAGCAGCATCTCCTCTCTTGTTCTCAGAGCATTCTCACAACATGACTGTACTGTTTTCATGCTGCAAACAGGAAACCCCAGCTTCAGAGACACTCCCAATTGTCTACCACACAAGGAGTATTGGCCAAGTGGAACCCAGGGACTGTTGCAAGGTCTTCTTCCTCTACCACACTGCCACAGCTTTCACAACCATCCCTTAGAATACCTACATCAGTCTTGACTGTGTGGCAAGTGGTGCAACTTAGGATCTGGCCGCAAGAATACAGACAGATGACCAGTGAACTGGCAACCTGTGTATTAACTGATACTCAGCTTCCTGTTTTGCTGTTAAACAGTTCTGTGCTGCTGCTTCCTGAGACCAGGAGGGAAGCAGAAACCTGAACTCAGGCTTGGCTGCAAAGAGCAACGCTGCACAGAAGGGAAGGAAGCAGAAAAAGCAGGCATGTCCATGCAGTGTGTGTCCCTAAGGCCCGCACAGCCGGGCTGCTTAGCTACATGCCTTTCATTCCTCTCCTTGTTGAACTTTCCTTTCTCACTTTCCAAATATACTTCCCCTTTCAACCTCTCTGTGCGTGCATCAGGTATTCCAACTGGATATGTATATTCCACTGACTAGGGGAGAGCTGTCAATCATTTTCTAGGACTTTCTAGGCTGTTCTTAGTTTTTTATTTAAAACGTTACAAGAGTGATCATAAAATGCCACCTAGAAAGGAGCAACTTTAAAAGTACTCTCAATTTTGAACTGCTTCAGTTCACCTGTGACGGACTATAAGGATGCTCACGAAACAGAAGAAACACAATCCCCTCAGAAACTGGCCTGCCTCGGATCCATCTACAAGTTCTCCAGTGTGGGGTTTTAAATTTCCTTTTTGGCTCAATTCCCCCTTATCTATCTTACTACCTGCTTTTTCAGCTGACACTGTCCTCTGTGCCATCAAAGCTTTATCTTGTCTGTGGCTTTGATGATGCATGTTCCATTTTTCTTAACGCTAACCTTCCATATATTAAAAACAGTGTGCCTCAATTTGTGATTATTTATAATCAAAACAGTGAATAAAAGTTATCTTCTAATTACATGGTTTTTTGATGTTAAAAGACCAAATACTTACAAAGTCAGCAGGCAGGTGAAGCTTATAGAGCTGTAAAATGGACTGAAGTAAACAGGACACCTGATTAGAAACCAAGACATCCTGGCCCAGCTTCATGGTGTCCATCACTTTCCTCTGACTCGTGGCCACTTGGACAGTCCATTTGTCCGTGTCTGCTATGATACAGACGGCTTCGGCTATGGGCTCATCAAGCACTGGATGCTGAAAGAGAGAGCAGTGGCTCAGCATTCTCCAGCTCAGAATGGACAGAGTGTTCTGTGTGGCATCAGAAGATGAAGGTGCACACTGTAGAAGTGTGGAGCTCCACTGGTACCCAGAAAGGTGCGTCATTGAACCAGCATTTAAACTAATTAGCCAGGAGCTGTGAGATGGCTCAGAGGCTCAATCACTTGTTACCAAAGTCTGACAACCCAAGTTCAGTCCCTGGGACCCACATGGAAGGAAAGACTATTTCAAGTTGTCCTCTGATCTGCATGTGTGTGTGTGTGTGTGTGTGTGTGTGTGTGTGTGTGTGTTTAGTAACTGTGGTTACATACACCAATCATTTCTAATAATCTACTATAACCAAGCTGAGGACTCATTGATCCAGATGAGTTCAAATGGTCAAAGTGTGGCTAATGAGACATATGCTTAACATCTAAGACACTTTATAATAAACTGTACCTTGGAGTATAAACATCTGTAATGATTAATCTCAGTTGTCAACTTGATGAGATTTAGAGTATGCTTGTCAGGGATTGTAGACAGTAGTTTCCCTGTCGATAGCTGCTCTCCAATGCTTAGCCACTAGCTCTTATAACTTAACCCATTTCTATTAATTCATGTGTGGCCCCGAGGCTTATGGCCTTTACCTCTATCCCATTTTGTATGTCCGACTCATTCTTCATCTGGCTGGCCATTCCTTTGATTCTGCCCTTCTTCATCCCATCATTCTCAGTTTGACTTTCCCACCTAACCTTATCCTGTTCAACTATTGGCCAGGCAGCTTGTTTATTAAACCAATTACAGTGACAAACCTTCACAGTGTACAAAAGTATTTTCCACAGCAAGGGATTGTTTTGATTGGGACACTTAAGGTAGGAAAGCTAGCTCATGATGGGTGGCACCATTCCCTAGGCTGGGATCCTGAGCTATATAAGAAATATGAGTTGAGCCGATTTCAAGTATTCATTAGTCTCTGCTGTTTGTCCACACATACAATGTGAACAGCTGTACCAAGGCTCCTGCTGCTGTGACTTGGCTGCAATGACAGACTGTAATCTCAAACAGTGAGCCAAAATAAACCCTTCTGATGGGTGATGTCCTTCTGTATATGTTTCTCTTATTGGTGGATGAATAAAACACTGTTTGGCCAGGAAGATAGGGGGGTAGGAGACGAGGAGAATTCTGGGAAAGGTAGGCAGAGAGAGGTGCCACAGAAATGGGTATTAATTAAGAGAGAGCTAGCCAGTAAGAAGCCCTAACCACAGGCCAATAGGTTAATAATTAATATAAGTCTTTGTGTTCTTATTTGGGGCTGAGGGTGGCAAGATCTGGCGGGACAAGAGAAAATGCCAGCAACACCCTTCTATCTAAGCTGGTTTTGTCAGGGCATTTTATCATAGTAGCAGAAAAAAATAAGACAACATTGAAATATCTCATCCCTTAAAACTGAGCTTTTTGTTCTATCTGTAGTTATTCTCAAGTCAATGAACTCATTGCCTTCCTATAGCAACTCATAGCAAGTAAAGATACCCAAAACGGAAACTACACTAGGTATAGTAGCTGAGCTAGTGAATCATTTATGTAACAAGTTATTAGCAGGAGCCAACAGTAAAAGCTCCAAGGATGGTCTTTGTCCAAAGCCTCAAGTCTTGCACATGCTTCATGGGTGGGATTTGACAGCAGCATTTCACAGGATCCCACTGAGCTCTGACATCATATAGTCACATGTTATGGAAGGCTTTCTGCTAGTCAGACATTGGATTTTATCTGGAGTGACTGTTCTTAGTTTCTAGGGGATAATTTTGAGATTTATTTGTTGTTTTGCTTTTTTTTTTTTTTTTTGAGACATGTTGTATTCTGCATTTACATCTCCAGAAAGGCTGTTTTTCTGATTAATTTTCTTAATGTCTTACACTTAAAAACTGTACTCTCAAAATTTGGGAATACAGATACAAATAATATGCAGGTGTGATGTTTCACAATAGAATAATTACATTTAATTTGATCAAATTAATGATTACTTTTACCATGAAGAAATTGCTTCTTATAAGTACCAGTCATGATGTTAGATTACAGTATAAAATTTTCCTAACCTGTCCTACAGGTAATCTGACTGACACATCCAACATTTTAGGTTGGGAGGGTACTGGTAAACTATTTGGAAGTTTGACTCTTATACTATTTTGGATCTCTTTTTGTCTTGTTTATGGACATAATTTACACACAAGTTAAAATTCACTAATTATATATGAAAATTGGATGAATTTTTAAAAATGTATATAGTGTGTATCCACTGCCATAATCATGTATTGGAAGTTTATAAGACCCACAGAAATTCAAGTTCCTTTGTAGTCAGTCCCTTGTAGTGACCACAGCAACCACTTTTAGAACTACTGTTCTGACTTTTGTAGAATTTTATATAAATAAGATGACACGGCCCATCATTTTTTGTTTCTGATTTCTTTAAAAATAATACTTTTGAGATGTAGCTGTATTTACTGCATTTTAGTTCCTTATTATTATTTTTTGAGCATCCTCTTGTAAGAGTACTGCATAATTTGTTTTTCCAGAGATGGTACAATTGTATTGCTCTTAAGGAGGGCCCAGGTTCAGTTCTCAGCACCCACATAGCAGTTTATAATTATCTGTAGCTCCAGTTCTACAGAACATAACATGCTCTTCAGACACCAGACATGCATGTGAGACATGCAGACCAACACTTACCCATATAAAATAAAAATCTTGAGAGAAATTGCTTCTAACATTTGGCCATTATGAACAAAATAGCTGTGAGCATTCATATTTACAAATTTGGTATGGGCATGATTTTATTTCTCTGAATCAATATTGTGGAGTGGAGATGCTATAGCTCATGTGAGATAAGTGCATGTTTTCCATCATTCTTCCACTTTACTATCTTAAAGATCATTCAGATTTCTCTTTACTCCAGAAGGCGGCATATCCCCATCAGCTTCAGCCCCAAGAATAAACATGCAATGCTCTAAACCCAGTTCTATGAAGTCATCTGTAATGAACAAGCACTTTTTATGCACCAGGTGACATACCCGGAATACAAAGGAAGTAAGTTTTTGCATTCTGCTTCAAAGTAACTGCAGGACTATGCAAAGAACAGGCACATGCTTGTAGATGTGTGAGCATGTGCGCACGTTGATGCATATCTATGAAGCTGTGTACATATACACTCACACACAATGCAAGGGTTTCACTAAACAGTAACCCATATTATTGGTAAGGAAGTTCAGTTCTCTCTATTAGTAAAACATGGTTATCAAAATCCATTTACAGGTCAAAACATGTAGTTTAAGAGTTGGAGGCATAGCTCAATGAGCACATGCCTAATATGTGAGAAAGAGAGAGAGGAGGGGGAAGGCAAGTGAGATTGGAATGGTGACACATGCAGATAATCCCAGAAGTTGGGAAGCTAACAGGAGAATTGCAAGTTCAAGGCCCACCTGGGCTACATGCTAAGATGCTGTCTGACAGAAAGAAAAAAACAACAACACAATTCATTTTACTTAAAAGCCCTCTAAACACATCTCCTATTCACAGATGGGGTTACATTCAGGGCCATAGCTACAGAAGGCAGGATTGCCCCCAAGTTATCAGGGTGTTCATCATCAACCTAAAGAGATGGAATCAACCAGGGTGTTCTGAATAAGGAACTCCTCCCTAACAGTCTCCTTTCTAACCTGTTGACTTTTAGGCTGCTGCTGACCAGGCGCATTTAATAGTATGCACTACTTAAGGAATGATCCCTTGTCTGATGGGACAGGCTGTTCTTTTGAAGTCTAGCTGGTTGGTTGCCCACATGGATTAATTAGTATTCATGAGCATGTATCACAGCCAGGCTTTCAGCAAAGCTCCTTATCTGTGCTACTGACTCCTGGGTGATATTTCTGGAGTCAATCTGTTGCTACTCTTAAAATTAAATGGAACAGGCTGCTACATCCAACTGTTATTTATAGATTAGTCTGTAAAATGCCTGAAGCCTAGATCACTATTTTGTTTTGTTTTGTTTTTTTAAGCTAATATATGATGTTAATTTTGGTCCTGATGACCTTAGCTAATACAGTGAGAGATGCCAGCCTGCTCCTTGTGACATGACACAGGGCAAATTTATGTGCAGGCTCAGCTCAGTCATGTCTAGCAGGTGCTTTCAGTGACTAACCCACAGCCAAACAAGAGTGTTAAAGATGCTTATACTTCTTTCTAAACTCTTGATAGTAATTTTGTTTCAACTAAAATAACGGTACTACCTGTTAGCAACATCTTGTACTGCTTTACCGCTTACAAGGCACTTTCTCATTGCCTGTGGTCTGCTGTTGTTTTGTTTTTGTTTTTTTCCAGACAGGGTTTCTCTGTGTAGCCCTGGCTGTCCTGGAACTCACTCTGTAGATCAGGCTGGCCTTGAACTCAGAGGTCTGACTGTCTTTGCCTCCTGAGTGCTGGGATTAAAGGCAGGCACCACCATGGTTCCACCCACATTTCCTGTTTTATTAATGTTTACTGGGCACATACACTTAGTAGTATGACAGGCACTGTGCTCAACACTTGATATGGATTATAGAATTTTCAAATTCAAATGACATTGGTACGGGTTATTTTATAGAATGGAAACCTCCCCCAAAGGCCACAAACCCATTAGGAGCTATGATTCAAACCTAGGTTGCCTCTTTGGAGGTCCAACTTGTCACAGGGAGGCCAGAGGTCAAACTCGAGTGGTGTTTCCTGTGTACGTTCGTCTTTTTTTTTTTTTTTTTTTTTTTTTTTTTTTTTTGAGATAGGTGCTCTCACAAGGACCTTACTAATGAGGCTGGCCTTGGCCGGTAGTGAGCTACAGGAATCCCCCTGCCCCTGCCTCTGCCTCTGCCTCCCCAGTACCAGGTTATGCCACCACACCCAGCTTTTCTGCTTGGGTCCTGGAGACTGAACAAGTCCTCGTGCTCTTGAGGGAAGCACTTTCCTATTGAGATATGACCCCAACCTGGAAAGCAAACTCTGAACCCCTGCATTATAATTTCCCTGTTCCCTCGTCATCCTCAGTGGGGTGCTGCCAGCTGCCTTGCTTCAAAGTCTCAATGAGTAGCAACACCAGGACTCAGACCCCAGCCAGTGCTGCTGATAGTCTAATGCCCACCTCTGACCCCAGGTCAGTAACTGATACTGCCTAGTTGGCAGCGGTCACTGGCAGATGCAGAGGAGATACAAGGCTGCTTGAGGGTCACAGGATGAGAGTTGTGCTGGCTCATGCATCAGCATGCATCACTCTCCACTCACAGTGAGAAGGAAAACAAAGAAGTGCACATGCAATTGATAGGGAAAAGAAGTAATGCTACTTTGCACTAAGTGACAGCAGTGGAATGACATGTATCAGGAGGCAAACAAGTTCCAATGACAGACTGAAAAGGAGCACACGTTAAAACAGCCAGAGAAAACCTGAACCTTAGCATGTGAAAGCAATAAAAGCCATGAAAAGAAATAGCAAAAGGCGCCTTTCATAAGAGACTGGTGATAGGTTTTCTGTACCCTGATACAACTAGGCTAACACAAAGAGTAAAAAGACACTCTTGATGTTGAATGTTCTAGAAAGAGAGCCCCTTGTTCTGAGAGAAACTAGTCTACTGTAGTTATACAATGTACATTAATGAAGCCAGACTTTAAGCCATGCATAAGTCTAAAAAAACAGATCAATAACCTACATCAATTCCTTTTAAAAAGTTACTCAAAATCTTTCAAAGGAATTGTGAGTTTCAAAGGCTGGCATGAGACTGAATTATTTATATCCCTCAAAACAGGTTGGCAAAACAAGTGCTGCCAAGTGATTTACCCCACTCCTCTTCTACAAGTTTGCAGCTCTCACATGCCATGCATTGTTCTCGAATCTCTGCTTCTTTTTCTGAGAGTGTTCTCAGCTTTGAAATCACTGCCCTGCGGGCCAGAGGTGGTGCATACTTTACGTCTCTGCACTCGGGAGGCAGAGGTAGGCAGATCTCTATGAGTTTGAGGTCAGCCTGGTCTAGAGAGCGAGTTCCAGGACAGCCAAGGCTACACTAAAAAACCCTGTCTCGAAAAACAAAAAACAACAAACAATAAAGCAAACAAACAAAAAATCACTGTCCCTTATGAATGGTTAATTCACCAATGCTTTAAAAATACCTCTATTTTCCACAGATGCTTGTAAATGGAAGTTAAGTCCCTTTTATAGTTAAAAACAAAAACATTCTCACAGACCAAAGTGTGAGTCTGAGGGGCAGTCTATTTCAAAATCAAACTCACCACCAGCGTAGTGACTCACTAGAGGCAGGTGGATCTCTGTGAGCTTAAGGTCAGCCTGGTCTACACAGTAAGTTCCAGGCCAGCCAAAGAGAGCTCCTGTCTCAAACAAATAAACAAATACAAACAAAAGCAAAACTCACAATGAATGTGTCAAGTGAAATTGGAAGTTCACTAATGTTAACTAAACATATTATGAAGTTATTAAATTTTGAAGACATTTTATGAGCCCTTCACAATTTTCTATTAACGTTATGCACATGGTTACATTTTGTATAAGCCCATATCATATGATATGTGTTATTATGCCTAACAACATTCAACCTCTCAAGATGACTTCATGATTTAAAGAAACAAGAGCTGCTACAGTGTAAAATACGATTTTTAAAAGGAAGAAAATAAAACATGGAAAACTTTTAGGAGGAATGATAGTGTAGACACGGCTATTTTCTCAAATTTAAGAATTATAGAGTCAGATGGTCACAATGAAAACCTAATATTCAGAAATTAGAAACTGATGGTCTATAAAAATGCCAAAATTTCATGAGTTGTGTGCATCACAGATAAGTTTGAGGTGATCATCAACCAGGAGGTTGCTTTTCCACGGTGGTCAGTAGGGGAACTTGGGCACTTTTGGGCAGAAATGTGCCACAGCTGGTAATATCAATGTCACTGAGGACAATCCCATTAGCTCCTATAGTCTCCTGTGTCTTGTCAGAAGCAGAACTCTGGCTTAGTGGAGAAAAGGTTCAAGGAGTGAAACCAAGTCCTTAGGAATCAAACCAAAAGCACTATAGAAAGCAAACACCCAAGCGGTCTGCATATACAGATACGGGCAGGAGGTAGTGACACAAAGAATTGGGTCCATTCACGCCCCAACACATACTGAACACACAAAGCCCACATACCCTTAGGGCAGGGCAGAGAGACGATTCAATGCAATGAGGACACTGTGCTTATGCTATGGGATGAATGGATGGACCAACCTTTGAAATGATTAAGAGCAAGTGTGCAATATCTGTGCTAAGCATGAAAAATTTTGTCAGTTACTTATAGATAACAGCAATGTCATAGTTTTATTCCAGGACTAATCTGGTGAGTGATGGTATCTGATCACAAAGTGCATGGGGCTAGGCACAGCTGAGCAAACACATGTATGGGTGGATGGGTTCTTCCCAGCACCCAGGTACTTATTCTTCATCTCTTTACCTCTATGGGATGCGGGATGGTGACCTCTGCTTCCCATCTGAGCCCTTCTTCCTATTCATACAAACATCCTTTGTGTTTGCTGTGTGTCTGGGTGGATGTTCAAGGCCAAAGATAACATACAGTGCACCTTTCCTACTCTTAAAAAGTCTCCCCCCCCCCAACAACAAACAGAAAGTGTGCAATAAGAAGATAACAAGCCAGGTTCCAATGATCTCAATGCAACAAGGATTCTTCCTATTGCACAAGACACCATATGTTTCTAATTGCAAAACATCTATGCTTGCACATCTGCTGACTAGCAGCTCAATTAAAAACAGGTCCATCGGATTGACACAGTCTCTGTAAGTGTTCAGCTCCTGTCATGCTGCAGATTACAGAAAAAGCACTCAGCAGTAGTTATAGGCAATTTTCCAGGAATACCTGTAAATCTTTCTACAGCCATCTCCTCCCAGCTATCAAAGTGAGCTCAATGACAAATAAGTTAAGAAACTGCTTTTTAGGAACTTGCAAGGTTTGAATAATAAGCAAGCCATACACAACAACTCTCTGGTCTCCCTTCTGAAGGCATGTAATTGTCACTCACCATTTGTGCCATTCATCGTTTGCCAGGCCAGCCCACAGCCATTCACCACTACTTTGCTCTACTCTACCCATCCTGTTCTGGCCCCAGGAGGCTGACCTCTATGGAAAACGGGAAGTATCTGCCTTAGCTGTGCCCTTGCGCTCTGGTTTCTTGCAGAAGAAACTGGAGGGTAGAGGAGAGAACTGGCAGCCAGATGCCCTACCTTCCTCACTGCCCCCAGACAGGCAGTTCCTCTTCCTGCTCCAGGACTCTGCAGTTCTGCTATCACCTGCTTTCCCTTTGCTGATCCTGGCCCAGGTATGCTCACAGACCCTGGATACTTAAATTCCTCCTCCTTGGTTATCGTGTCACTTTGTCTTCATAAGCAATCCTTCACACAGACGCTTTCAGCATAAACTGGAAAGCCTGTTGCTGGCCATCCAGTTGCTCTACACTGGGGTCACTTACATGCACCGTGTGGGCCAGATCAGCTGCCAGACACTGCTTCAGCTTCTCATCGCTGCTGGTTCCATGCAGCACCAAGTCGGGCATATACGTAGTGCAGTAACCGGCCAGAAGTGAACGGCCAAAATTTCTAATGTTTGGCTTGCTGGTGCTCTGAGACCTAAAACAACATTTGAGCCATTAAACACACCATATGAGTTAAAAGTACTCAGTTTTTGTGTTACAGTGGGAACAAAACTGCCAATGATACAAGAAAATATAATAGTTTCCTATAGCCCACATCAGAGTCTACAAGGAGATGATGAGTGTGAAAGAAGACTGGGTTGGGGAGGACAGGAAGTATTTTTATTAAAATGGAAGCCTGGAAAAAACACATATATACTATTTGCATGGCTAGTTAAAACGTCATTCTTAGCCAGATGTGGAGGTGCATGTTCTTAGTGTAACGCCAGCCTAGGCTACATAGTGAGATCTTGTCTAAAAATCCTAGGGATCTGTTCTTACACCTTACACTGAACATCCACTAGAAAGTTCATGTCAGAATAATGAAAGAGAAGGCTGGGGCCCATGGTGCCTGGAGCATGACTTTATGAATCAGACAGTGTCCACCACGGTGAGGCAAAAAGAAGGATCCTTTCATTGCAACTTTTAGTCATCACAGGCCAAAGAACCAACCCGATGGAGCCCTAAGGAAGAGTGCGAGTGGTGTGAGAGAAGCCTCATGGTGGGTTGATCTATCACCTTAGGAGCAAGACACCCAAGCCAATTGTACAAATTACACACATACAACACCAGATGGAACTCCTCCTCCTCGCTACCATGACTGCTGTGGCCCTTAACCCCCTGCCCCCAATGTCTCAAGAGCTGCAAAGACAACCAGTCCTCTGTCCAAGAACGTAGGTAGCTGCATGAAGACCATGAGTATCCCTGGAGACCACACAGGCTGGAAACCCCTGGCATGTAACTGGTGATAACTCTAATATTTAAGAGAGAAACATGTATTGCGTATAAAGTGGTCGTGGGTAGCTACCGTGGTCATAGCGTCAGGCTGGGAACAGACTTCAGTGCCCTGTGCAGTGTTACCTTGGCAGAGGCAGCTCCACTTCCAAGGACCCTTCAGTAGTCCTGTCACAACTGGGACCTAGGTCTAGCAGGGCTAAAGCACATGCTTCATCATCACTGTCTCCGAGAGCACTATCCAAGCTTTCATTCCTGGGAATGTCTCCTTCAATCCTGAAGTGGGCCTTACCACTGGCATCCCCACAGGGGACATCTGCAGCACCCAGCAGGCCACCCTGTTGTCTACATGTGTTTACAGGCTGTGATGAAGGTCTTTTCTTGCCTTTTAATTGCAAGTCTCCAGTGTGTTTCAGTGGTCTCTGGCCACTGCCTGCTGCACAGCTGGAAGCTGCAAGGGGGCCATGAGCTTGGCTAAGTTGTTCCACAGTACATGCCATAACATTGGCTTGGAGGCCTCTGTCCTCAGAGACACCTTCTCCCCCTGAGGACTTGTCCTGAGGAAGAGTGAAGTCCCTTTGAAAGTCAGCTTTGGAGGAACACCTAGAGCCCTGCTGGTCTTGAGTCAGGCTGGAGTCCATGCTAGGCCTGGCAGAGGCACTAGTCCCATGGACTTGACCACAGATCTTTAACCGCTCTTCCATTTTTTTGGTGCGGCTTTCAAAGTCAGACTCTGGAGAGATGGAGCTTCCAATGTGGAATGTGACCTTTTCAACAGGAATACCTTCCTGGGAATGTCTGTCAGGGCAGGGCCAGGCTGCTGACCTGTCAGCTGCTTTCTTTAGCATCTCCCCGTGCAGTTCCTCATGGTCAACTTGAGGGTCCATCCTTACTCTTACCCTAGGAACCTCACAGCTGGGAGGGCTTAAAGAGCCATCTTGGGGTGCTTCTTGGTCATTCTGGTTGTCCTCACAGAATATGCCTTGAGGTGTCCAAGAACTGTCAGGTTCTGCCTCTTGGAACCCCATTCTACTGGCCTCAGAACTCTGCTCTGGTTTCTTGCATCTGTTTTTGCCGGGTGTGTGACCCAGCTCACTGGTACTTGTGCCCTCCGGGATCTCAGCTACTCTGGTAGGCTCCAGGTTCCTTCTCTCAGTTGTCACTGGTGGGAGGATTGGAGGAACAAGAGCAGGCTCGTTTCTCACTGTAACTACCACATACTCAGACTCTTCCACCTCTCCCTTTTCCAAGGCTGTCACAATCTTGCTCCCATTTATAACCTGGTCATCCTCACTCTGATTCCCACTCCAGGTCAGCTGATTCTCTTGTAGTTCAGAGCAACGGAGAAAGTAGGTCAGAACGTAAAGGATGCGCTGGACCAAATCCTTCTGCTTCCCAATCACCACAGTGCGGGTCAGCCTCACTGGAGAGCCTATAGCTCCATAAAGATCACCTACAGGGCAAAGATGGACAGAAGACAAAGTCCCCCGGTATTAGCACATATGGAAAATCTGCCTTCTACAAGAACAAAACTGGTCACTTGATTCCCAGCCTCCAATCACTTCTTGGGGCACCAGACATAAAATTTTTAGGCATGACCGTGTTCCAGCTGCCCTGATACTGGACAGCAGGTCTGGAAGGCCTAACCAGCTGCAGCCTAGTATCCAGCTAAGTACAGCAGGGCACAGCAATGGTAGTGCTGCTGGACACACAAGCCCCTCCCTGGGCTCAAGTGGTTGCATGCTGGCCCAGGGGAAGCTGAAGCCATTGTTCTGCATAAATGGCCAGATCAAGTACAGAGATTATCTTGCAAATTACAAGAATTTCTAGGCTGGGAGGTGGTGATGCATGCCTTTAATCCCAGCACTCAAGAGGCAGAGGCAGGTGGATCTCAAGGCCAGCCTGGTCTACAGAGCAAGTGTCAGGATAGGCTCTAAAGCTACACAGAGAAACCCAAACTTTTGGCTTGGATTTAAGTCCTGCTCCACAGAATGAAATCCATATCCAGCTCAATTATCATGCCAAGAACCTATGGATGGGCAGGTCATAGGCCCTGGGGAGAACCTACTAGTATGATTTAGCTAAATGGAAACAATATTTCTAACGACTTACTGCATACCCAAAGATTGATGTATCTCTCAAGTCTCTTCTGAGAAGCTTCTATTTACAGTAGATGGTAATTAGCATAGGGACCTACAACTGGCTGAGAGACTGCAAAATGCTTAGCCCTAAGCAGAACACACATACTATATCCCCACCCCCACTGCCACCTTCTTACCGATCTTTACAGAAGAGAGAGCAGAAGGGATGTAAGAGCCAGAGGCAGAAGGTGACTAGAAGGAAAAAGCATCTTCTGGACACAGCAGGGCACACAGCTGCATATATGAACTCACAACAGTCTCTACAACATACACAAAACTTGTGCAAACACAGGACAGACAGAATTCCAGCATGGAGATGGGAACCGGGTATACAATCCCATAGCTAAGGAGCTATGGGCAACTGTTAGCCTCTGGGAAAAAGAGAGACAGTTTCTGAGTATTGTCCTGGTAAGTTGACCGTACTCCAGGCCAAGACCACACACCCAAGAATATTTGGGCAACACAAATTGATCTTGATGGGCTTCAAAAAATAAAATTAAATAAAGTTTAAAAGGGAGACAAGGTTAGGTGGGTAGGGGAATGGATCTGGGAAGAGCTGGAGGAAGGGAGGTGACTATGAGCAAAACATGCAAAACTCCCAAAGACCACATTTAAAAAAAGTACTCGTTACTTAATTACTAACTCATCAAGCTTGATCATTTCGTTATGCTTGCTAATAAGACAGACAACCAACATATATTGAATGGATAGGCACTTAAAGATTATATCCTTATACAACCGAGTGTTAGGAGGTACTAAAGAGCCACCAACACTGGAAGGGGTGTTACATAAACAGAGGCGACAGTGACATTACAAAGAAGACTGTGGGAAGTCAGGACTCTGCTGAGGAATGCATCCGCAGTGAGAGGCAGGAAGCCACAGGTTACAGAAAACTAAAATTAGTAGGCTGAGGCTGAGAGAAACATTGTGAGAATGGACAGGAAGTTCTCTCTAGGGAACCATAAGGAAGTGTGTGTCCTTGGGAGAGTTTTCCCTAGTGTACAGCTTCCAAGAACATTTAAAGGGCAGGACAGAAATAATAATACACAACTTCTCTATAAAAAGACAAGATTGAAGGCTTACAGAGCTTTAGCATCTAAGAAATCACCCTAGACTTCAAAGTCAGAGCTCAGAAGTATGGTGAGGTGCTATGGTTTGGTCATGGTCAGGCTCATGTCATGCCTTCCTTCTGATCCTGTCTCTCCACACTTTAGGATACTGCAGTCACCTCAGGACTCAAGCGTTTTGTGGCCTCAGTGCTGCTACTACTACATACGAGCTGGATCTGGTGGTGTGGGCCTATGATCCTAGTTACTAGGGAAGCTGAGACAAGGGGATCATGAGATCTAAGCCAGCCTGGGCTACACAGTATGAAACAAATGAGCAACACTTCCCACCTCGCCCCCCCCCCAAATACATCGATCTAAAAATGTTACCAGATAGCTTGAACCTTATATATTTTGATATATCTTAAATTAATTTTCTATGTGTTGGAGCAGCATGGTCTATGATTTTTCATGTAAAGAAGGTATACAGAAAGAACTGCACAGGTCACAAAAGGTTATTCCTGTAACTAGTGCACAGCAGCAAAACTAGAGAAGAAGCATGAAGCCCCTTACTCAGGGGAAGGGCTCAAAATCTTCCATTAAAAAAATAAATAAAAAAGAGGAAAAATTGGAAGTCTTTTGAAAGAGAAGAAGTTATATTTATAAATGAAATGGATAAAGAGGAAAGACATGTTGCTAAGTCAGGGCTGGGGGAGTGAGTGCTGGGCTAGGGCACTTAGTAAGAGTGCTTACAAACCTGAGGACCTAGCTTCCTTTCCCAGCATCCACATAAGAAGCCAGGTATAGCCACGTGTGTCTGTACCCCAACTGCTGGGTGACAGATCCAGCTTCAGTGAGAAAAATCCTTCTCTAGGGAACAAGGCAGAGAGAAACGAAAGAGGACACCTGACATGGTTGATGCACCTGCAACACTCTATGCATGTGTACATGTATGTATACATGTATGCACACACACTGCTGAATGAAAAGTCATGAGACGTAAAACTAGAAGGTGGTTAACATCAAAATCAAGGTGGGCAGCATTTTCTATAGGGAGGGGGGGAAAACAGAAGATGTAAATCTAATCCAACAACAAGAAAGCATACAAGTATTTACTACCTTTGTTTTTTTGGCCAGAAAATAACTGCTGCAAAGAAAGGGCAAAGAGCTCTGAAACATACAAGTTTCACTGCAACCCTCCTGAAGAGTTAGTTTCCTTGTCTGTAAAATGGAAAGTCTCACAAGTGTCTTGAATACAAAAAGACACAACAGGTTTGTGATAGCCAAGCCCCACTAGTCATTTAATCCTCAGTCTCTGATGAAGAGCACATCTCATCAGGGTGAAGAAAGAGATGGCACATCTGAAAACAGGTCAAGTAGGATTACCCATTCTGAGGAGAAATAAAAAGAATGGAGAAAGATGTACACAGCCCAGATGTCTGTGGGCCTCATCAAGCACCGTGATATGCACACAGTAGGGATTCTAGAGAGAGGAGGCAGGGAGCCTGGAGCAGAGATAGATTTTTAAAATGAGGATTCCCAAAAACTTAAACTTCATGAATGACATAGGTCTGTACATTCAAGATCAACGCGCTCCAAGCAGGAAACTCCAAGTAATAGTAGACATGCTATAGCTGAACTGTCAAAACCAAAGGCAAAAAAAAAAAAACAAACAAACAAACAAACAAAAAAAAAAACAAAAGCATCTTGAAGGCAGCAGGAGAAAATCCCGAAGCTCAAGCAGGCAGGTTTCTCACCTACAGCAAATTCTATGCTGAGACACCACATCCTAAAACTCATATTTTACAGAACATCTGTGTGAGCCGTTCTGTTTCTATCCTGTTTAAATGCTTTCCTAACCCGCAAACGGCTTCCACAGGCCACTGGTGGAGAGAATCCCTAATGTGGAAACCCTGTGCATGGTGCCCATGAGGACAAAGGCAGCAGATCACTGTGATCTCCGAGCAAGTCCTTGAGTGTGAAGAGAGACAGCGGCTGAGAAATCACATCGGTTAGATGAGAAGTGTAGACAGTCCCGATGAGCTCTCAGTAAGATGCTGAAATCATTCAAGATAGAGTGTTTCTATTACTCGGGAAACTAAACTAAAATCGTATCTGCATTGCTGTGTAGTCTCCAGAGCTTACATCCTCCTGTCTAATGTGACACACAGAAAACAACTGCAATTTATGTGCATCCTGTGACTAACCATGGAAATTTGTGATAATGGAGACCTGATAGCTCACACTTCTCTCTACAAGGCTGTCATATGCCTTCCCTGTGCAAGGCTTTGTTCCCTCCTCAAACCACTCTGATCAACACCAGACCTTGGAGGGACTCTTTTTAGGAAGAGAGAACTGAAGACCTTCAGTGGTGTATATCTCCAGTGACAAGCAACGAACAAACCCATGAGAAGGGATTTTTGCCTTGTTCTGCTGAACACAAGGAGTCAGCGACTCCCAGTTAGCTCAGTCTCACAGGAGAAGCACTCCTGAGTCTGAATGCATTTATCTAATTAAATGCATGCGGTTTAATTACCACCGTTTGAAAAGTTGACTGCAGCAGGATGCACTGTATTTCCTTAATATCCAGCCCAATCCCCCTAAGGAGTAAATTTTACTGCACTTTGAAAAGAATGTCTTCCCGTTGAGACAGCGACATGTGTCCTCAAGAAGAGCCAGTACCCAACCCTGAGCGAGGTGGCAAGTTTTGAACTGCTCCTTTTACCAAGCATCAAAAGTATAAAGCAGTGTACTTTTTATCTTTTTTTTTTTTATTTTTTGAAACAATGCCTTGGTTAAATAGCCTAGACTGGCCTACAACTCATAATCCTCCTGCCTCAGTCTCCTAAATCCTGCCTGGGATTACAAGTCATGTGCAGTCACTCCCAGTCTAACAGGTTTTACTCTCCACGAATTCTTTAGTTAATTCATTAAAAACACACCCATTACTTACCCTATGAGACTTATATCTTCTTTTGTTTCTCGTGGGCATTGGAACAAAAAAGTATTTTTACTGCTATAAAATAAGGACACTGGTAACAAGCAGGGGTGAGAATCTCACCAATTAGTATGTCTATAAGGTACTAACAACACTGCTTGTGCCATGGTGTCAGTTTTTGTTACAGTTACTGAAACACCTGGTTTCTAGGACTAGAGTGCTTTTTCTGGCACACTGCTTTTCCTAAATTACCATTTGGAGATTACTTCAAGTAAGCCTTCCTGGAAAATGTCATTCATCCCCTTTCTCCCTGTCATTCATCCCCTTTCTCCCTGCATTTTTCAGTCAACAGCATGCAGAGCAAAGTCCTGACCCCAACCCACTTGACATGTGCAGAGTGCTCCCTTAGCCACATATGAGGCCCGGGTACTGTCATTAACACACAGAAGGGAGAGGCACAAGAAAGCTAAGTGACTGCCTGCGGAAAGGAACCAAGTACAAGGCTTCTGGCCCCATGTCCACTCCCAGGACACCCTCACTCCCACATCCCTTGCACACTCTTCTCCAAGCACTACGATGCTCTCAAGTGGCCTGATCATGGCTCCATCAGCCTTGTCCACCAGGCAGCTGACTGCTGAGGCCTGAGCGGCTGTGACTCGACCCTGAGTTCCAGCACACGAGTAGGACAGAATGCCATGTAATCATACCTTGTAACTCGAATGCTCACTTAGAATGAGTCCAGGTGTGTAACACCTGTCTCACCTACGATGTGCTAGATTCCTGTGCCATGCCTAAACACATGGAGTGAAGAAGTAATGCCATCAACCACAAGGGCCAAGTGACAGAGAAGACATCAGATGTATGGTGTAGTCAGAAAGGTGTTGAGATTGGAGTGTGTCACTTTCCCCTGGCCTTCTTCTTCCCCAGCCACACCATCCTACAGGCAGTGGTTCTCATTTCAGTTCCTTTGGTAACCCCTCTTCCCTGTAAGTCTGGCAATTGTTTGCAGACATTTGATGGTTATAACTTTGGGTAGAGAGCAGTTGCACTGGGATCTAGTGAATGAAGGTCAGGAGTATTGAACAACCTGTAAGATATAAGGCAGCCCTTCCCTGCCCCATCACAACTCAACCACAAAGAATTACCTGGCCAAGAGAGTAGTTAAGAAAACCATGACAGGGTGAACAGCCTCTGTGAAATGGAGAACTCGGTTTACCTACACTGTCTCAAAAGAGCAAAACAAAGCTACAAGTAAGGGGAAGGGATGAGGGTAGTAGCCTGTTAATTCAAATCTGTGGTCCAGTCTCATTCCTGCAAGAGACAATTCTTGAATGGGGTTGGAAAGCCAGCACAAGCTATAATTTCCAGAACCCCTACCTCCAAACCACATTTCATCAGATATATTCTCTGAACAGTCAAATTAGGTACTAACCCAGCTGTGCCCAGAGAGGATTATATGGATGTGTTTTGGCCAGCGTGTTCACCGACTGAGAGGTACGCTTCTCCGAGAAGGCTTTAATGGGAGGATGATCAACAGGCATGACAGTTGGTACCCAGGCCAAGTGATAGGTTAACACCGCAGTCAGTAAGGCAGCAAAAAACCTTGGAAAAATGGACAAAAGCACACCCAAATTAGTTAAATACAGGACAAGGTCATGTCCTGTGTGGAATACACACTGGCTCAGTCTCAGTGGCTTATGCTTACTGGTTTTTGTTGACTTGTTCAATCAGAAGTATAAATTCCTTGAGAAAGCGCTGGCAGAGCTGGTTTTTTTCCAATGTGCTCGACATCATGGTAAGCCATACTGGTTCAGCTATCCTTGGAACCGAGTACAAGTTCCAGATAGTCCCTCTACAGGAAGAGAGAAGGGACAAACTGTCAGAAAGTTATTTTGGATATCTTAGTATCAAAGAATAAAGCTGAATATTGTAATTTGGATATATGTACTCCTTAAGGAATTAAAAAAAATTAACACAGGCTGGCAAGCTAAGGCTCACACAAATCTGAGTTCTATCATTTTTGTAAGTAAAGTTTTATTGGGACACACGAATGGATGCTCATTTTCTTACACATTATCTGTGAGTGCTTTTCTACCGCACAATAGCAAAGTTGGGTAGTGGTATAGAAAGCCTTAAGAGAAAGGCACACCATCCCTAACATAAAAACATTCATTTAGCAAACAATGCATGGGGATGTAACTCTGTGATATAGCACCTGTCTATAATGCACATGGCTCTGGGCTTGATCCCAAGAACTGTACACACAAAAAATTAAAAAGGTAAAAAAAATTCATTATGTCCTTCTCCCAGAATTTACAATCATTTTTAAAATTTATTTTTAAATCTATACATAAAAACTTAAAATCCTAAAATCCTAAGGGACGGACATAGAGGATCATGTCATTTTTAGATACTATTTACTTTGTTTTAGTGGTACTGAGAATCACATCTTGGTCTTTTTGCATGCCAGACAAGCACTCTGTCACTGAGTTTTATTCCCAGCTCCACACACAAAGCAATTTTTAAAAAAAAAAAAAAAAAAAAAAAAAAAAAAAAAAGGAGATCAAGAGCTGGGCATACCAATAATCCCAGCACAAAAGAATCAGAGGCCAGAGAACTAAGAGTGTGAGGCAGCCACAGCTACATAGTCAGACTATCTACACAGCAAGACTATCTACAATAAGGAGAGGGTGGGGCACAAAAATATTCAGGACAGTTGGGCGGTAGTGTTGAATACCTTTAATCCCAGCACTTGGGAGGCAGAGGCAGGAGGATCTCTGAGTTCAAGGCCAGCCTGGTCCGACAGGATCCAAAGCTACAGAGAAACCCTGTCTTGAAAAAACAACAAAAAATACACAGGACAAAGAAGAAAGCACATGTTACACCGAAAATGAGAGTGTTAGGTGACTCAACTTTCCTAATTTCTAATTAATATGCTGGCTTTCTAAATCAAACACCCAAATTGTTTTAGATGATAAACTGCACAATAGCTGGTCTTCACTGTAACATATGCCAGCTTCTAATGCAGAAGGCTCTGAGAGGTTGGATAACAGGCACCAGATACACATTTAATGGCAAGGTGAGGATGGGAATTCAGGCATGGCATGCTCTGCTATAAGCTACATGGTTCACAGGTGTTTTTCCAGAGTGTAAGAACTTACTCAGGCCCTCCACTGAGTAAAAAGTCAATCCAGCCCTGAATGAGTAACACAGAACTCTCCCAAATCAAGAGAGGAAGCAGCATACTCGGACTAGACTATGTAGCTGTGTGCCTACAGGAATCAGGACAGAGCACAAATCTACCTTGGCAAGAACAGAAAACAAACAAACAAACAAACAAACAAACACACCTCAAAAACTAGTAATATTTACTGAGTTAAGAATCTGTGACTCAGGGCCAGGTGGTGGCTGCACACGCCTTAAATCCCAGCACTCAGGAGGCAGAGGCAGGGGGATCTCTGTGAGTTTGAGGCCAGGTCTACAAAGCTACACAGAGAAACCCTATTTTGAAAAACAAAACAAGGAAGGAGGAAGGAGGGAAGGAGGAAGGGAAGACAATTAGAAGAAGAAGAAGAGGAGGAGGAGGAGGAGGAGGAAGAGGAGGAAGAAGAAGAAGAGGAGGAGGAAGAGGAGAAGGAGCAGCTGCTATGATTCCACTGGAGACAATGTAGAGATCAACAGATGGTAGGGAGCCCAGCCCTAGTGGATAATTTACATATCTACATCACAGCTCTCCACCTATGGCTCTGGGAACATTACGGAAGAGGGGGCAGAAAGATTGCAAGAGCCAGAATACCAGGAAGTCTGCAGTAAAATAGTCTCTCCTAGAAATGGCTGCACAAACAAGTCCAGAACAATGGCAATAAAAATGGACATATTAACACCAAAGACAGAAAATGTCTCTAAGTTCTAAAGCTAAGAACTGTAGGCAGCTAATTACTGCTGGACAGAGAATTAGTCTCTTTAGTGATAAACAGCCTTACTGTTTGTCCAGTGCATAGTGGTCATCCTTAAAAGTGGTTACCCAAAAACAGACAGCAAGTTGTGTTCATATACTTGTACATACAACTATATTCATATATGTATGTAACAATAATAATCAAAGAGTATCAACTTAAGAGTGTAGGAGTGGGGAAAAGACATGAGAGGGGTTGTAAGGATGGTACCTGGGAGAGGTAGAAAGGTGGAAAGTGCTATAATTCTATTTCAATTAAAAGCATATCTTTAAAAAAAAAGACAGTTAAGATGATTATAGTAGCTAGGTCATGTCTCAAGCTGGGTATAGTGGTGCATAACTTTAATCCCAGCACTAGAGAGGCAAAGGCAGGTGGACACTTTTGAGTTCAGGCCTGCCTGGTCTAGACTGTAAGTTGCAGGACAGACAGAGCTACATAGTGAGAACCTATCTAAAAAACAAAACAAAACAAAAACAAACAGGCAAGCAAAATCCTCATGCGTCTAAATATTAGTACATTATTTTGTCTGTTTCTGGAGGGCTCACTGTCAAAATAAGTGTAAGCCTCTTCAGCATACACAACCTCTGACTTTTTATTTTCAGGTTTTCACCCCTAAAGATTAGTGTTTTGAATAGATTAGCATCTAGGCCCTCCAGCACAAGCCAGCTTTGAGTGTGACCACTGTGAAGCCATATGCAAACCTAGTATTGTCTCTCCAAGGAGACAGCTTACTCATCATCATAACGGCATTTCTCAAAATGAAACAACCTAAACCGTTCTTTTTCTATAGCCAGAGTTCAGAAAAGGTGGTAATTTTGCTCCAAGCAGCACTAAGCTTCACCAACAATAATGGTCTAACATTCTAGGAAATGTAATTTTTTTATTCCTCATCTATTTGGCTCATTTACTCATTAATAGCTTTGCAGTGAGACTGCATTCCCCATTGAGAGACTGACTCTGAGAAGCTCAGATGAGCACAGTGGAGAAAATCCCATACCTGGAGCAGACTACCTTGCTACCCACACTCTGGGGACAGGGGCTAAAGAAAACCAGTCTCCATAGATGATTAGTGGACGCAGAGGTCAGTTAGAAACTGCTTACAGGGTGAGAGAAAGGGGACCAGACGATTCACTATCCAGACCAGGGCATGGACCACAGGCACCTCAAGTGCATTAGATCTGCCCTGCCAGATGAGAGCTAGGTCTCCACGACATGCATACATTTTCTCCATTAGCTCTAGGGGACAAGCAGCATTCCTGAACCCAAGTTTCAACATCTGTAAAAAGGGTAAAAAGGCTTTGCCTTCATCGTTTATGAGTTGATAGACACAACATCATGGAACTGACTTACAAGACATGCTTTAAAATTAGTTTTCAGTTCATTCCGATGAAAACAATCCCATTAATCCAGACATGGAAATGCATGCCTTAATTGCAGTACACAGGAGACAGAGGCAAGTGGATCTCTATGAGTTTGAAGCCAGCTTAGTCTAGTAGGCAGTTCTAGGTCAGCCAGGACTAACACAGTGAGACCATATGTCAAAATAAACACAAACCAAAACAACAAAAACCCTAACACGACAAACAAGAAAATTAATCCCATTAAGAACCGTCAGGCACAGTGAAGATTCCCAGGTGCTGTTACTCAATGTTTGGCTTTACTTAATCTGTCCTCATGGGTAAAGACACTAAAATGACTAAAAATTGCCGGTCTCCTAATTCTTCTAAGAGATAGCCTCATGGCGGCTGGCAATACTACAGCTCATAATTTCCTGCTGGATTTTCAAAGCTTGTACTCTACCTGAATTCTCCCAACGCTTCCATCAGACGACTCACATAAAACTGGACACGGAGACTTGATTCTGCTATCTTCCTACAGGAGATCATGGCCTTCATGGGAGAGAGTGAGGCAAATTATTCTCTGAGAAGAAATTCCTTTATAACTGATCTGCTGGGGCTCATTAACGAACAATGATGTTATAATAAATTTAAAACACCCACAGTAATGACGCTTCCCCTCATCAAGAAGCAGTGACTTCCTTCCCTGCAGCAACTAATGTCTGGTCTCTAGCCTTAAAAATCCTAAGGATCATCACTCCAGGACATGTTTTGACTTCCTTATGTAGGCCATCTGACACATACATACATGTGCCATCTTTGGCTACAAATCTCTCCCGTTTTTTTCAGTAGCAATCTTACTACGTTTCATTTTCTTATTTAAGTGTTTGCTTGGAATGGATTCCATGGCCTTGCAAACACTGTAAGCATTCTACCCCTGAGCTGCATCCCATTCCTTGTACACACACTGTGCAAGCACTCGGTCATTGAGCTGTACCACATCCCTTGTACACACTGTGCAAGCACTTGGTCATTGAGCTGTACTTGCACACACTGTGTAAGCACTCTACCCCTGAGCTGCTCCCCAACCCTTACCTTTTCAATGGCACTCTTCAGCCTGTTCATGTGAGATTCGAACAGGGGGAAATGGGAGAAAAAGAAGTCCTGGAAGTTCTGCTGTGCTGCTTCTCTCTCACACAAAGAAAAGATAATGCTGATGGCAATCTTCTTCCTTCTAACCATGGCTGGATTAGAACTACAGCTCTCGTCAGCCAAGCTAAATGTCTCATCAGTTGACCTGGAGGAAAATTAAGTTTGAAAAGTGGCCAGGCATTAGTGAGTCACTGAAGGTAAGCTGTCTTGCCATGTGATGATACTCAGGAAGCCAACGCAGAGGACTGAGAACTTAGCTGGCCATTCATCTACCACAGATTCATTATCTTCTGACTCCTTTGTCATGAAAACTGAGAGTATGTCTGCTTACCATCAAAAGAAGTTCAAATGAAAGCCAATGGTGATTTTAATGTTTGATTCTCATCCTTTTGACTGTATTTAGAAGCAGTGTGAGATACCAGTTCAATCAAAGCACAGGTTCTAGCTAGAGAGATGTTCGGGGCATAAAAGTGCTGGTTGTGCAAGCCTGGTGACCTGACTTCCACCCCTGAGGGTCAGACAAGCTGGATGTGGTGGCATACACACACCTGCAATCCCAGCATTCCCTCTGTGAGAAGGGAGGCAGGGATAGAAGACTTGGTGGTGGGACACTCACAGGCCTGCTAGCCTAGAACAAGGTGCACAGAAGAAACCAGAGAAACTCACCTCACCAAGGTGGAAGGCAAGACGTGACCCCTTCAGAGGACCCTGAAGGCTGTCCTCTGATGTCTACACCTCTCTGGAACAGGTGTATTTAGAATATAAAACAAGGAAATAGTTCTTGGTTTTTGTTGATAGATAAGAGTGGATGAGAGACTGAGAAGACCAGTCCTGTGGAGTATTCTGTTTACACAGACATCAAGTTTCAACACTCACTAGCACCTTTCTCGAGGCTATAACACCAGCAGATGAAGTTACTCCTTTAAATGCTCTGATGAAGCCAAGTGATTAACCGACTGAGCACTCTGGAAAATCCACTAAGCAGAAAGGCTCAACTCTTTTCGGTTATAGTCAAGTTCTTAAAGAACTTATGATCCTTTTGAGAGATCTGCTTCTGTAATAAAAGAACTACAGAGCCAATAAATTCCTAATATATATCCAATTTGTCTTAGGGACAATACAATTATGGTTTAACCACAACTCTTATTTAAATACTGGGAAAAGCCAGCAGAGCTACAACACAGCTACCCACACAAGAGTGAAAACAAGTTTGCTCTGTCCTACAAAGGCACCAAACAAAGTAAAGGCCAGAGTCTACTGCAAAGGAGTGTAGCTAGCCTGCCTCACGGCAGCATGTAACACATGTTCTGTCACCAACTATACCATCTTTTAGGGCTCTATTCACAGTCTAGAATATCCTGTAAGTTTTACAATCTGTCTGGATTTTACTAACATCTGCACATCTGACACTGCTTGGTTAAAGCTCTGTTTAAAAGGGAAAAAAGTGCCTTGCTCTTGGCTCTGAGGTATGTGTTTTTGCTTTCCTTAACATCCCTTAGATGGGGGATGAGGAGATGAGTGACATGGCAGCTCCTGATCTCTAGGTGTCGTGTAAATATAACAAGTATCCAGCAAGCTACTAGCTCTTCTGAGAAAACCCAATCCCAATCACACCGAATGTCACAAAGTTTCACACAGGAAGGATTCTGAGATTTTAAAAGGCTCCCATTCTTGATTATAAAGTCCTTGTATTAAAAGTTTGTTTCTGTACACTAGCTTATTTCTGGTCTGCATACAAAAAAAAAAAAAAATCTATCCAGGTGTGGTAGTACTCATCTGTAATCCCATCCCAAGAGGCTGAGGTAGACTGAGGAGGTAGATTTGAACTCAAATTCAAGGACAGGTTGGGATAGTGAGACCCTTTAAAAAAAAAAAAAAGCAACAAAATATTCTTCTCAGCTATAGTGTAAAGCTTGCCTCTTTGCTGAATGTTCTAGGCCTCTTCTTTCCCAAAAGTAAACCACTGTATCATTATCACTCCATTCCTCCTCAAGCTAAGGTGGTCTTTAGTAGTCCAACTGTGATAAACACTGGGCTCTATTTTATTCTTCATCTCCATCTCCTCTACACAATGGTCATCTCAGCTGTCAGTTTAAGCATAGCAGAGAGTGCCACCTGCTGAACTGCTGTGAAACCTTCCTCAATAAACAGAAATTAGACTTTACTGGCTTTACTACATATCTCTACTAAAGTCTAAAGCCACTGAGCTTCAGTCTGTAGTCCTGGATCAACTATCCAAACTGGAACAAATCAGGTCATAGAGAATCTGAATTATCCTTTAAGTATGACTCTACAATAAAGGATGCTTGAGAATGTGTCAATGAACTGATTATGTAACCACTTTTCATACCCTCTCTGTAGGACACCAGTTAAGTGGCGCAAGCTATTTTGTAAGTACAGAAACTGGAGCGGTGCTTGCCTGGGGAAGAGAAAGCTCTCTGGTAAGGATGCTAGAGTATCTGTTGCTGCCATTCTAGGCTGCTGGGTATCAGCAGTAACCAGATGCCCACCCAGCCTGACCCACAAGCTCCAGCTCCTGCTGTCGGATGCATTGTGATGGCTGCAACGCCACAGGAAAGACCTGGAGGCACAGATCAGCCAACATGTTTCAAGACACAGAAAAACCATGGCTCCACCCTTAGCTCTTTTCCATATAGAGAAATTAAGTAGAGAAAGCATGGTAGTCCATATTTTTAACCCCAGCACATGTAAGCAAGGCAGGAGGACCATGAGTTCAAGGCTACTGTGGGCTGCATAACTAGACCCAACTTCAAAAAAAAAAAAATTCAAATTGTGTTTTGTTACACTTAAGAATATATTTTATATGTAAGTACTTCAAAATCATAATTACTTAGAAACTATCATCATTTTAGTACATACAGACAAACTATAATTGATATCAGGACTGCTTAGCACAGTTATTGTTGAGGTCAGATTTGAACTGACATTGAATCTACAAAACAGATAATATGCTAAGTCTAAGAACATCCCACTATGTACACGTCCCCACAGATAGCAGAGCTCTTACCAGCTATAGGATGTGTACCACCCCCACCTAGGTGCCTAATACCACAAGCTTGCCACCTAGCACAATGAAGCAGCCTGAAGTCAGGTGCTACATCATTTAGTTTAGGTGCAGTTTAGGTGCTACATCATTTCTAACGACCTGTAACTCTTAGGATGGATTTTTGATTTATTTATCTTAAAATTAAATTTTGCTTTTTAAAAAAAAAAATAGGGTCTCATCATATAGCCCTCACTTACCTGAAACTTGTACAGGATGCCCTTGAAGTCACAGAAATCCATCTGTCTCTGCCCCCTGAGTGTAAGGAATTAACAGTGTAGGGCAGGAGGATTTTTTTAATTACTGTGTACTTCCTCCAAGAGCAGAAGCAGTGAGAGCTTTTCATGTCGCTGTTCTGTTTCTAGCATAAGAAGCAATTACTCAGCCAAGAGTGGTGGTGTATACCTGTAACCCCAGCACACAGGCTCCAGGTCAGTGTCAGCCCCAGAACACAGAGTGGGAATAGGAGGAAGGGAGGAAACTCCTGAAAGGGAGTAACCAACAGCAGAGGAAGCAGGTTACTATACCCCCAACAGCATCTTCCTTCACAACGGGCTGAGATCCACACCCTAATCACTGTGCTCCCCTTCCAGGTTAGTGACAATAGCAGAGTGGAATATACATACTTAGAAAAACAATCTTACAATGAATCAGGATACTGTTTTCTACCATACTAAATTATGACACAAAATGTTACTTTTATAATTTATAGTTTTGCTATTATATGCCACTATTATATTTTAAATTAAATGTTTAAAACACAAGCTTTGCATTCTAGTACCTTTACTAGTATTCTTCTTGCCTTATTAAATAGGGGCCTGGCATTTTTGCTTTGCTCTGGTCCCATAAACTATGTAGCCAGTCCTGACTATGTGACTAGGCTTTCTGAAGGTTGGACACTTATTTAGGTGGAGGCTCAGTGACTATCCACAGTTTCCAATGCCAGGTCTCCGTTCAGTTTGTTTTCTGGGCTGAAAGTCTAGGTTTGGAAATGCTACAGATAGCTTCAAACATAAATCTGAAGGAATGAAAAGAATTTACAGTGAGGAGGAGACTCTATGGGTGGCCTTCTGTATCCATCTCTTTCCACCACAGAGGCTGCAGAGTGGCAGTGAAGATGGAAACGGCACCAACTTGACAGGTGCTAAAATGACACCAACAAGTCACACTGGCCAATATTTTATCTGCATTAAAAAAAATTAAGTCAGGATGGTGGCACATGCCTTTAATCCCAGCATTTGAGAGGCAGAGACAGGCGAATCTATGCTGAGTGTGAGGGCAGCATGGTCTACATAGTGAGTTCCAGGATAGCCAGGGCTATGTAGCGACCATCTCTCAAAGAAAAATGTCACTTTTTTTTGTATGTGTATATGGTTTGTGTAATGTGCCAGACACACATTTGGAAGTCAAAGGAGAATTTCCAGGAATTTGGTTCTGTTCTTTCACTGTATGGGTCCTGGGGATCAAACTTGGATCAGTAAGCTTGGCTGCTGATGCCTTAACCACAGAGCTATCCTGAGCACCCAAGTTTTCCTTTTTTGAGATAGGGTCTCTCTGTATAGCCCGGGCTGTTCCTGGACACAAGCTCGAACTGTGTCAACCTCCAAGTACTAGGATTATAGATGTGCACCACCAACGTTACATCGGACATATACTAAGTACTGTCTGACCAGTTGACTTGCTTATCTAGTTTCACCCTCCTAATAACACAGAGGCTGAACCTGTTACTAACCTATCGCACACAAGGAACAAACACCTGAGACCTGGTTAATGTCTGGCATGTTCCACCACATGCCTGATGAGGGCAGAGCTGGGATTGGTCCTCATCTCAGATGCCATGATCTCTCATCAACTTCACTTGAAGTCCATGCACCAAAGAGCGGTAGCTCAGTGAGGGACCAGCTGTAACCTTTTTATGTTGCTCTCTAGGGTTTTGAGAGGAGCAGAAGAGGTATCTCCAGCTCTCATTACTCAGCTTATCTTTCTACAGGGCTCCTCATGGTACCCACCACCATGCTTCTTCCTGAGTTCCAATGTACTTCAAACCTTCACAGTGTTTATCATGAACTGATCTTTCTTGACACCTGTTTACGGTCATCTTCCTTACTGGTCATAAACTAGTCATGGCTGAGCCATCTTCAGAGTCTCAAAACACAATTTACAGACTCAATTAACTTATGTGAATATTTTAGTGACATTTGAAAATTCCCTTTAAATTTTTAGAGCTATAAAAAGAAGGGCCTGGTATAGCTACTGGTATAGCATCAAATCTATACTTTCTATATCTATACAACTAAATAAACTTCAGATTCAAAAATAAACTGAAACAAAGGTGGGAAATACCTTGAGGCTATCTCTGTGTGTACTCATATTAATGCCTGTTTAGTCTATGAATTTAAGTCCCACAAAGGGACTATGTCTCAAATACCACAATGGAATCATTGTAACCAGGGAAAGAGATGTGTCCCATCCTTTATTACTTATAGCTACGTCTGGAAGGAATCAGCATGAAGAGAACACACTCACTTTAAATTACCATCAAATCTAGCACACATACATTGTGTAGCTATCCAGGCATTTCCAGGATCTTCTAAATAAAAAGATGTTTTTTTCAGCTGGGCAAAGTGTCAGTATACTCATAATCCTAACACTTAGGAAACAGGCAAAGCATGGTGACTTTGAGCCCTGTCTGGGTTACATATTGTATTCCAGGCCAACCTGCCTACCTTTAACTTACTACTGCCTTAACAATTGAACTTGTAAACTTCCAGACTAAGCTGGAGCTAATCACAAGGTTTCAGGTCTTCTTCTCCTGACAACAGCAATGGTAACCCTGCCAGGTTTCGTAAGTTGTTTACATGAGCACTTTCCTTAGCCAGAGGAAACATGTAACTTACCTCCTTGGAAAGATGCCATTTTCCAAACTCGTTGTCTGACTCCGAAGCCAGCGACGCTGATAGCTGCTGGAAGAGGATGTAGAGGAGCTTGGAGACGGGAAGGGTGTGATCAAAAGGCTGCTTAGAGAAGCTACAAGGAAGCAAATTTCAAATGTGAGAGTCCCAGCTCCAGTTCTTATAATGCACACTACAATTATGCTCAGTACCACTGAGCTATACATTTACAGTGGATTCCAGAGGCTGGGGGCTACTCAGAACCCACACAGAAAACTAGTATGCTAGTATGCACTTGTAATTCTGCTGCTAGGACGAAGAGACAGGAGAACCCCTGGGGCTCACTGGCTATCTATCCTAGCCAAATCAGAGAGGCCCACCTCACAGGAAAAGACCCCATCTTAGAAAGCATATGACACCCATCTTGAACTCTGATAGAAACTCATGTACATGCCTGTACATCTGTATAGCATGTTCACTGTCCCCCCAAACAAACACATGCATAAATAATAAACAAATAAATAACAGATTCTATGCCAGGCATGGTGGTACAGTCCTATAACCTCAGTATTAGAGATGCAGAGGTAGAAGGATCTTGAGCTCTAGGCCAGCTTAACTATGTAATTTCAAGGTGTAGGCTAGCCTGAGCTACATAACCTCCCTACAGTCATCCCCCAGAAAGTTTGATGACAAATTTACATGTAATGTGTATTTTAACACCATACACACACACACACACACACACACACACACACACACACACACACACACTTAACTTAAAAATTTGGATTCTACCAATCATATCCAGCAGGGGGAGACTAAAATTTCTTCTAAAAATTTTCTATATATGAGGAAAAAAATACATAATTTTTTGACACATTTCTGTTGTGCTGCGGTCTAACTTTCAGTCCTCCTGCCTCAACCTCCCCAGTGTTGGGATTACAGATGAACATCACCACTTTTTAGAAAGTAAGAATACTAGCCTACCCACACCCAGCCATCTTCTATTCTTAGCCACATGGATTCCTAACCCACATTCCGCCAACCCAATCGGTGCACACATGATCAGGCTTTACACTACAAATGAAAATGGAATTATTGCTCCTTTGGAGCATACACTCCAGATTTCTAGGAATATGGCCCATGTATAGAACTTAATCAACATCCCATTCCAAAGCTTGCTTACATTTCGTACTGGCTGGTTTTGTGTGCCAACTTGACACAAAGTAGAGTCATAGAGAGGAAGGAGCCGCAGCTGAGGTAATGCCTCCATGAGATCCAGCTGTAAGTCATCTTCTCATTTAGTGATTAATGAGGGAGTGCCCAGCCCATGGTGGGTTGTGCTATCCCTGGGCTGTTGGTTCTGGGTTCTATAAGGAGGGTTGAGCAAACCAGGGGAAGCAAGCCAGTAAGCAGCATTCCTCCATGGCCTCTGCATAGGCTCCTGTGTCCAGGTTCCTGCCCTGTTTGAGTTCTTGTCCTGACTTTCTTCAGAAACAAACAATGCTGAAGTGTAATCCTAATAAACCCTTTCCTCCCCAACTTACTTTGTGATCATGGTGTTTTGTTGCAGCAATAAGAACCCTAGCTAAGACACATGTATTTCTTCCCTTTGCCTATTTCTTCACTCTCTATTTGAAGGTAAAATTTAGGCAAAGTAATCAATTCATCCACATAAGATATGAAATTCCCCTCTCTTGATCCTTCTCTCTCTCCCTCCCTCTCCTGATCCTCCCTCCTCCCTCTCCCCCATTCTCTCTGTGTAACCCTGGCTGTCCTGAAATTCACTATATAGGCCAGGCCAGCCTAGAACTCAGAGATCTACCTGCCTCTGACTCTCATTTTCAAATACAGAAGAACTCTTACCTTTCTCTAGCTGCTTTTCATCCCTATGTTTGAACAAACTATTTCTAGTTTTAAATATTATTTTTTTTTGTGTGTGTAGAAGAGCTTACATTTGAAGTAAATGATTTTGAACTATAGCAACTATTCTGAAAATAGACTTGGTGGTTTGAATTAGAAGGACCCCCATAGACTCATATTTGAATACTTGGCTCTCGGTGGAACTGTTTGGGAAATTTGGGCCTTGGAGGAAGTGTGTCATTGGGGGTCGGCTTTGAGGTTTAAACACCATACTAGCCTGCCCCAACCCCCTTGCCTACTGCCTGCAGATCAGGATATAAAACTCTCAGGATACAAAGTACCATGCCTGCCTGGCCTGCCTGCCTGATGCCATGCTCCCTGCCATGATAATCCTCTGAAACTGTAAGCAAGCCACCAATTAAATGTTTCTCTTATAAGCTATGTGGTCATGGTGTCTCTTCACAGCAATAGAACATTAACTAAGATACTAAGGTTTTAAGTAATGGATGACAGAAGTAAATTCTTTACTTAGTGGTTAGAGAAAATATGGGACTCAGTTAAAATGCCACCAAGAGGCTCAAAGGGAATATATATCAGCCGCCTGTTCTACATGAAGAAAACTTAAGAATGTTATTAAATGTGTAGAATATTATTTTAAGGTGTGTGACTTTTGTTTATGCTGCATTTATTTAACTCTGAAACTGAGATTCTTTGCTTGTCTAAATCACCTGATGGTCTAATGAAGAGCTGAACATCGAATAGCAAGGCAGGAGCAAGGATAGGCGGTGCTGACCGGCAGAGAATATAAGTAGAAGAAGAAACAAGAAAGAAAAGCAGCAAGAGAACATGGAGAGGAGTATGTCAGTGGCAAGCCACCCGGCCAGCCATGGAGAAAGAGTAAAGTAAGATTTACAAAAGAGAAGGATAAAAGCCCAGAGGTAAAAGGCAGATGGGATAATTTAAGTTAAGAAAAGCTGACAAGAAACAAGCCAAACTAAGGCTGGGTGCTCATAACTAAGAATAAGCCCCTATGTGTGATTTATTTGGGAGCTGGGTGGTGGGTCCCCCCAAAGGAGCCAAAAAGCCAAAAGGAAAAAAAAATAACATAATAATTAAAAAACAAAACAAGACCACTACTAAAGGTGGCCTGGAGAAATGGCTTGGCAGCTAAGAGTGCTTCCTGCCATTGAGGGTAGATGGTGCTGACAACTCCTACCTTCCGAAGCCATCCAAACATACTGACTGTGGGCTCCACACACCCACTCCAAGTCAATCTGCATGATCCCAGCCTGTTCATTCCTGGCCGCCTTCTAGCCTCACTCACCAGAACTTTATGACTAACCCACAACTCTGCAAAACCTGTTCCTGCCACAGTCTTTTGCCAGCTGTCCTCAATACCAAAAATGCTATTTGCTCTGGCATTCACGGAGCAGGTCCCCTCAGGCATGTAAGTCTCAGCTGCAGTTTCCCCTTCTCGAGCCTTCCCCTGAGCACCCAGATAGTTTCTTCCCTTCAGTGATAAGTGTGTGCTGTACAAACAAATAACTTTAAGATTTTAGAAGGTCCCCTAAGTTGCACTTGGTGTCACAGGCCTACAACTCCAGCTGTTCAGGAGGCTGGGCTATTATAGAGATGAGATCATGGCCTGCCTGTCTCAAGGAAAAGGGGGCTGGAGATACAGTTTAGCAGCACAAAACTTGCCCAGGATGGGCAAAGCCTGCATCACTGGCAAAACAATGAATTCTTCAAAAGCACTGTGTAAGTTTTAACATTCCCAGAAAAAGTCCTTGAATAAAAATAACACGTTTCAAAACATCTCAAAATTTCTGAAGTCGCTAGGACATAAAACTCTAGGCCTGCTTTACTGACAACTCCTGTACTCCAAACTGATATCCCATGTTGATGCAGGACAGACAGACAGGAAAACTTGTGTGGACATAGGAAAGAGAGGAGATTCTCGCCAGCTGAGCATCAAGAATTCCAACACAAACCTGGGATGGTGGCGCACGCCTTTAATCCTAGCACTTGGGAGACAGGCAGGCAGATCTCTGTGAGTTAGTGGTTTACAGAGTGAGTTCCAGGACAGGGTCTATGTAGTATGTAGAAAGACCCAGACTCAAACCCCCCCCCCCCCGACTCCCCAAACAATTTACATTTGCTTAAGACTTTCTCCTTTCCCAATGGTAAGCAGCAGTTTTCTAATCTCACCAGAAAGCTCCTAGATGGTGAAAGGATATGCCCAACCTCCTTGTGCAACCCTATGGCTCCTGGTGACCTCATTAGAGTATAATTCTACCCAAGCAGCTCTGCAGCCACTTTGTAATCTCACTTGGCGGGGAAGGGGGATGGGTGCAGCTTAGCAACCTTCTGAGATGCAATGTGATAGCAATCAAAATGTCACATACAGCCAATGCTGAAACCCATGACTCCCCCTTGAGGTCGTTCCCACACAGAGGTCTTACTTTCTTCCTGGGTTCTTCCTTGAGGTCGTTCCCACACAGAGGTCTTACTTTCTTCCTGGGTTCTTCTTTCTTTCTTTCCTTCCTTTCTTTCCTTCCTTTCTTTCCTTCCTTCCTTTCTTTCTTTCCTTCCTTCCTTTCTTTCCTTCCTTCCTTTCTTTCCTTCCTTCCCTTTCCTTCCTTCCCTTTCCTTTCCTTTCCTTCCTTCCTTTCCTTTCCTTTCCTTTCTTTCCTTCCTTCCTTTCCTTTCCTTTCCTTTCCTTTCTTTCTTTCTTTCCTTCCTTTCTTTCCTTCCTTTCTTTCTTTCCTTCCTTTCTTCCTTTCTTCCTTCCTTCCTTTCTTCCTTCCTTCCTTTCTTTCTTTCTCCCAACCCTTGTGCTTAAAACCTCTACTAAAAACTTCTTCTAATAAGCTTCAACTCTTGCTTCGTAGTGGCTCGCTCTGTAATACTTTTCTGTGTTGATGCCACAAATTCTGGGTTTGCCTGAGTCAAGGTCCCTAAAGGATTATGGGAACTCCCAGGGCTGCTATGGGTTACAGTGTGGAGCTGGGTCTCTGTCCCTGCCACCACCAACAGAGTTATTCAACAACTGAATATGTTATCCACAGTCTGGGCTCTAAGAATGAAGAGCCTATAAAGAGTTATAAAAAGTCTAAAGCTGGCCCTTTCTTTTTCCATATGAATAAAACTTATTGAGTCTGGCTTTTGTGTGACATTTTAATTCAAATTACACTGGATCTATGGATTGATTTGTAGACCTTATTTCAATCAGTTTAAGGAGGTTTTTTTGTTTTGTTTTTTGAGACAGGGTTTCTCTGTGTAACAGTCCTAGCTGTCCTGGAATGAGCTTGAACTTAAGATTTTAATAAAGTTCTAATGTTTCCTGTTATTTCTAGATCCCTTACAGTTTGATTGCTACATTACTTTTTAAGTTCTATTTTTTTTTTCTTAAACATGTATCTAAGAACACAAGTTTACAAAGGGAAAGGCTAAAGGAGGGTTGGGAGGTAGCTAGACTGGTAAAGTGCTGCCCTCATAAGATGCAAGCATGGAGAACTGAGTTCAACTCCAGCAACTGTGTAAAAGACCATGCAGTGCCCCTACCATTCCAGCATGAAAGTGGAGACAAGCAGGTCTCGGGCTTGATGGCCCAGCTAGCCCAGCCTACTCAGAGAGACCCTGTGTCAAACAAATGAAAAACAAAACAAACAAACAAACAAACAACCACCCCTGAACAATAAGGTTTTATGGCTCTCCATCTTCACTTGCCTCAAGCTCCAGCCAGTCCTGCCCACATGGGCCACGGGGCAGAGACTGAGCTCCAAGATGCTATGCTTGTTAATGCATGCAGAGGCTTTTCATAGCAGTGGAACTCCAAAGTTCAGCATGAAGTGACCCACAAGGAAGGATGAAACCATCCTGAGCAACAGTACACATAAACAAATGTAGTTCACTTACTAAGGTTTCTGTTTTTTTGTTTGTTTTTCGAGACAGGGTTTCTCTTTGTAGCCCTGGCTGTCCTGGAACTAGTGCTGTAGACCAGGCTGGCCTCAAACTCACAGAGATCTACCTGCCTCTGCCTCCAGAGCGCTGGGATTAAAGGCGTGTGCCACCAATGCCCGGCATTAAGGGTTTTTTGTTTTGTTTTGTTTTGTTTTTTGAGATAGGGTCTCAGTATGTAATCCTGGATGGCCTCCAAGTCACAGAGAGCTACCGGCCTCTACCTCCAGGATACAAGGATTAAAGGTGCTGTATGGACCACACTCAACTACATATTATCTTGCATCTTTTCAGATTTTGCTTGTACTCAGTGAAATGGCGCAGGTTTCTGATCAAAGGCTCCAAGCACAACTTCACAGAAATGATGGGAAAAACCAAAATGAATCCATTTTAGCCATGAATAAAATCCTTTTGATTAATAACACATATATAAACCAAAAGAGGAAATTCAGCACCTGTTATTTCTTTAGTGACTTGGAGAACAGAGTTGAACAGGGTGAGGAGTGAAGGGTTTTGATACCATCCAGAAAGAGCAGAGGACTTTTGAGACAAAATCTGGGAGCTACAGCAGCTGATAAATGGATTAAAATAAAGGAGGAAAGAGACCAAGACCTGAGTCTAGTGTCACTTAGTTGATGGGCACCTGGCAAAGGAGTGTCATGTCACAGGACAAACCAGTAGGACATTCCTGGTTCTCACTGGAAGACTGTCTGTGGGCCTCCTGGTCCTTGAAACATGGAACAAGTCTCAGATCTGAACCACAAATTAAAAATCAAGAGCTGACATGTACAGGAAAGTAGAAACCAAGAGGTCTTAAAGGCAGTATTGGGCAAGGTTAGGGCTCCAATTGAGCAGAAAAGGGTACTGAGATATACTTCAGATTAACACCATAGGACAGAAAGGTTGGGCAAGTCAGCTGGTGGCAACTCCCACTACCATAGGTAGACTGACCACCACAGGCTTATTCCATTCTGATTGAGCAGGCAACAAGCAAATTCCTAGTACAATTGGCACAATGAAGCTTCCTGCTGAAGAAATTTGAGTATTAGATAAACCTAGTTTGTGTGCATAATCATTCCTAGATGCCAACATCAAAGTTTCACATCCTCAGATACATAAGACCTAGAATATAGAGAAAAGAAACAGGAAAAAAAGGAAGACCAGAAATCAAGGACTACATTTCTGTTTCCTGCTTTTCATTATAGATAGTTTAACGTATTACTTAAACCAGTAAAAGGAAGTACCTGATCGAGCGATGCCACTGTCCCTGTCTTCATTCTGCCCTCTGCTTGGCATATCAACTGGTGTGCTGTGTGCTGAGACAGAGAGACAAGAAAAGCATTATCAGGTTCTGCAAAGACAGACATTCAAAAAATGACTTCATGTAATTTTTAGATTTCAAGGGAGGCTACTGCTATTGATGAGTGGCCTAATATATAACAGATTAACTAGGTAGCAAATTAAATACATAATAAGGTAGCAAGAAATGAAAAAACAGAACCAACAAGCCATTTGCCTTTATGCTGGAGCCTGCAGACTCCTCCGCATGACATGTATAATAAGCCATCCATGCAGTTAATACAATCAGCATTCTAGTGCAGCCATTTCCTCATTATTAATTGTATTTAAACAGTACAATATTTTCAAAATGCTTATAATTAGTTTCAGTAACAGTTGTAGGCAGCTTAGGAAGAGAAATAGTTAAAAATCATTGTATAAATCTAGAAATGTTTATTTATAGCCTACTCTTTCAGCAGACAGAAAACATTAATTTTCTAACAGTTTTTTCTCCAGTTCTTTTCTCCATACATGGTATTACAATTATTCAAAAAAACTCATCCTGTATAAATTTGGAAAACACTCTTAAATAGCACATGTATCTAGAAGACTTCTGACTGAGCTGTAGATTTACTGGGCTGAAAGGTAGGTGAGAATTGTGTTCTAGTAAATTTTATGATGAACATGAAGTCACTGCTGTGGCTGAACATCATACCTGCTAGCATTTTTAGGAAACATGTTTATGTCCCAGGTTTTAAAGGCACTATAAAGACATCTATACTTGGTCTAAGTAGCTGGGACAGAAGGGCAGTTTCATAGGCATCAGAAAACTACAATGCTTAGCATATTTCAGGTATCAAAAAGAACAGAATGAAAAATCCTATTTGCCTTCCTCACAACTTTAAGTTAGTCATGGAGATTGTTCACACTTGTTAATCAGTCTACAACAGACATTGAAAACCTCTACTGGCAAGGCCAGTTACATCTCAGAAAATACCCAGAATATCAAGATGACTATACCTGTAAGGAGCCTAGACACTGCATTTAAATAAATTAATGAGAGAGAGAGAGAGAGAGAGAGAGAGAGAGAGAGAGAGAGAGAGAGAGAGACCTGATTGAGCTCTCCTGTAGTCCTACTAGAGTGACTTAGAAACTCCATGCAGGGAAGGGTGCAGGTGAATTAATGGATAAAAGATGGCCCGGCAAAGAGAACCAGATCACAGCAGCAGAGGCGGCCTAGGAAAATCAGAAGAAATTAAATTCTCCTAGAAACACAAAGGGCTCATTTAAGATCAAAACCAGCTCACATTTGGACCATTAGCAAAAACATTCACAACAGAGGTTCAAGGGTGGAAATTCAAAATAGCACGACTCTGACCACATTTGAAACTAGTATCTCCTGCCACAAAAGCCCTTTGGGTTTCTAAAGAAGAATAAATGATTTTTTTTTCTAGAATCTGCATAGGAGTTATAATGTGTGGGGGCCACAGTGTGCTCAGCATTCCACACAAACCTGCAAAGAAAGAAGCACTGCGGGTGAGCCGGAGCGGTCCTCCTTCGGACACCCCCTGCAGCAGTTTGCTGCTGCACGCCTGCAGCAGACCTAGAGTAGAACACACAGAAGACGCAAGGCGCACACACACACACACACACACACACACACAAATAAAAACAAGTTAAAGATAACAGAAAACACAACAAACTCAAATAAAGCAACGTACGCCCCCAACAGTAGTGCTCAGGGACAAGCTGTTGAGTGTCTCATTTTACCTAGGTTACTTCCAGTGCGACAAGGACCCAAACTGTTCTGATTTGTGTTCAGTTTTCCAGCCTGAGGATCTTGGTTGATGTATTCAAAGCTGTCCTGCAGGCTAAATCAAGGTGAGAATGTGAGAATGGAGAGAAGGGGTGAGAACATCAAGAGATTAACAATTTTTTTTTTTAAAGTAGGTTCCTAACTACAAACAACGACTGATCTGTCACTTAGAATTTTTCTTTGTAAATAAAGTTTCACATCTACCAAGGGGAGTAAAGATGGTAGGTTGGGAGGAATTTTTTGGAGACAAACAAAAACGTTTTGGAAGTGGCCAGTCTTCATGGCTACCTACACAATTGCATTCGTAACCACATCATAATCTGGAATGAAACTTCAGTAACTGACACCTTCAGTACTGCTCTTCATTTTTAAATTCTGCTTTAGAAAATAATACCTAAGATGTTACTATTCATTTCAAGGTTTTGCTTTTTTTGTTTCCCCCTCTCCCCAAGCATTTTCAATAAAAACGCAAAATGAATTAATTTAAATCTATTAATGATTCAGCTACTTGGTTCAGGGGGAAGACATCAGAAATTATGATTCACTTTAAGAAAATTAGAATTACAGCCAGGCGTTGGTGGCACATGCCTTTAATCCCAGCACTCGGGAGGCAGAGGCAGAGGCAGTTGGATCTCTTTGAGTTCAAGGCCAGCTGGGTCTACAGAGCTAGTGCCAGGATAGGCTCTAAAGCTACACAGAGAAACCCTGTCGGGAGCGGGAGGGGGGGCCTCACCCTCCCTGGGGAGTAGAAAGGGTTTGAAATGGGAGGTGGGAAGACAGGGGAGGGGGGGAGGGAGAGGGAACTAGGATTGACATGTAAAACAAACTTGTTTCTAATAAAAAAAATTTGATTTTTCTTTACCTTGCAACCAAGGTATGTGATGTAATCAGCAATGGGTATTACCAACTAGCTCTGGTGGGCAACTAAGAAGAACAACAATAACCTGTAACTGTTTTAGGGATGTGGTGTTCCCATGATCATCTGTTTTAAGTTTTATATCCGTTTTGCATTAAATAAAGGAATGGTAAATGAAAAAAAATAGAAAAAAAAAAAAAAGAAAGAAAGAAACCCTGTCTCCAGAAAAAAAAAAAATTAGAATTACTCAAGGCTAATCTAACTGCTTAGGTTAACTGCATTGCAGCTGGAGAAACGATACTATGTCACTCTTTCCATAGTAAATTACTGAAGCTGGGAGTAGTGGCTCAAAACTGTAAACACGATATTCAGGAGGATTACCATGAATCTGAGGAGAGGCTAGGCTAGACCCTCTCTCCCCACCCCAAGACACACACCCAAATTAAGAAACAGAACAAAAAGAGCCAACCAACTAAACAAACAAAACAACAACCAAGCAGCCCTGTGATCTTCCCCTTATTTTATATTTTCTTGAGAATTAGAACTTGCTGCCTAACAGGCAGGAACTAAGAATAGTACATGAGTATCCAAAACAAGTCATTTGTCAAGCTGGGATAGAATAATTCATACTTTTGCCTGGCATACATGAGCTCTGGGTCCACTCTCTAGCACTCTATAAACTGGGTACAGTGGTACATACTTATCACCCCAGCACTGAGAGGAAGAAGGATCACGAGTTCAAGGCCATCTTCAGCTACATAGCAAGTTCCAGTTGAGTTCAAGGTCAGCCTGGGACCTTGAGACCTTTTCTCAAAAGATAGTCATCTGTCTTTAGTGCCACTTGAGAAAATCCCAAGGTTTTTTACTCGCTGTTACTAGAAAATGACTAAAACCTCTTTGTTAAGCTGCACTTACCTTTCTATTGATTTACAAATGTCTTATAGTCTCCAAGAACTTATCTAGGAACAGAAGCATAAAAATATAGGAAAGGGGGGAATGCAAAATTCCACTTACTTATTTGTACTTCCACAGAAGCTACCCACTCTAGCAGAAAAGACTTTACTAATCATCAGTTGTGGAGGAGAACTAAAAAAAAAAAAAATAATAATAATAATAAAATAAGAGGGGAGAAATGTGCTTTTTAAATTAAGAAGTCAGCATCAGCATTCCAGTTCTCGAAGCTAGCACAGGGGCAAGCTCACCGTATGTAGTGTATCTTCAGGGTGGAACCTTTGTAACTCATTGCAACAGAGCCGAACATCATTTCCCCAAGCATGTTGACATCGGAAGCCGGTCTTGTGTACTGTGAACAAGAAATAAGACTCAGTTAGAACTCAACATAGAAAAATGCAATACAAAGAACTTCCTGCTAATCTTTGGGTCTTTGGTTGAAGGGGCTGTCATTAGAGTTCATCTCACAATCATCATCTACACAGTGATCACCTTCTATAGTTCCCAAATATTACTATTTTCATCTCTTCCTTATATATAATATGCTCACACAACAAAGTCTATCCATCTCCATTTATACATTCTAACTATGAAGGAAACAGGCTCTCTCTTCTTTGGGTATGTAGCAGATCCTGAAAAGAAATATGGTTTACTGTTGTTATTCAACTAAATAATTACTAGTTGTGGTCATTTGAATAAGAATGTTCTGCCATAAGCTCAGATAGCTGAACACTTGGTTGCCAGTTGGTGTTTGGGTAGGTTTAGAATGTGTGGCCTTGCTGAAGAAAGTATGTCACTAGGAGCTGACTTTGAGAGCTAAGATCCCTGCCATTTCCAATTTGATTCCTGCTTCATGTGACGTTCAAGATGTGAGACTCTGGCTTCCTGCTCCTGCTGCCATGTGTTTGGTCTGCCATCATGGTCTCTGACCCTCTGGAACCATAAACCCAGATAAACTCCTTCTGTAGGTTGCCTTGGTCATGACACTTTACCACAGCAAAGAAAGCTGACTGCTACAGTCGTGTCCACAAAGGACTTTGTGAGGATCTGGGAGATAAAGGCGATCTTGTTGCTCTAAAAATTTTATAAGCATATTTCAAAAACACTTCCAACTTCTACCAGCTTCTCGTGTCTTTTTAACATCTTTTACCTGAAGGACTGAGGTTCTGAATGCCAGCTTTTGAACACAGGGAAGCCTAGGTTTGCCTGACTGATCCTGTCTGCTCTGGTGACCTCCATATTCCACCTTCCCTCAAATCCAGTAGACACGTTCTCTTCTACTTTACCAACATCTTATTTGGCACTATTACCTTCTTACTTGAATCTGTTCCTTCTCAAATCACTCCTTGAAGATAGCTACTACTGCCCACATTTCCACCATTCTTTTGCTTCATTATTTACAAGAAAATCCTCTATGACTTATTTCTAGGTCAACGCCTTTCAGCTATAAAATGTCTTAGGTGGTTCCAGCCTTCCTAATGATGCGACCCCTTATTACAGTTCGTCATGCTGTGGTGACCCCCAACCATATAATTCTTTTGTTGCTACTTCATAACCGTGATTTTGCTACTGCTATGAATCATAATGTAAATATCTGATATGCAGCATGTTGCTACCCATAGGTTGAGAAACATTGTCTTAACGACTGTGCTCATTCATACTGATATCCTATGGACAGGTCAAAGAAAGGTGTGAAACAAACTAACCTAACCGAAGCCTAACAGACAGACTCTGCAAGTGTGCTCTCAGTGCAAAGAAAAAAATAAAGGTATCTTCCTCAATATGTTTTCTCGAATCTTTCCAATATCTGAAATGCCAATATACACATCTAAGTACAAACACACACACTCTCTCTCAGCTTCTACATAATGACAAAAGAGGAAAGACAAACTTGTCAGTTCTGTTAATAGAGGGTGTATTCATCTCTGGTTACAGCTCATATCAAACTTCTTTCCATTTCTGACACAGATCAACTGATTTCTCATATTCTCTACTAATAATTCCATTCACCCTCTCTGTTTTATAATTTGCCTTTTCTTGGTACAAAGACCATGTGCCACCTGGGATTCTCAACTACCTTTTAGCACTGTAAAATATGGGCAAATGTACCACACAACCCTGAAGATTCAAGGCTTATTTACCTGTGACAGCCGTTAATCACCATGACCTTGTTTTACCAGGAACAGTAGAGCTAATATTCTGTACAGGTTTGAAAAATGGGAACATGGAGGGCTGGAGAGATGGCTCAGTGATTAGAAGCACTAGCTGCTCTTCCAGAAGGCCTGGGTTCAATTCCCAGCACCCACATGACAGTTCACAACTTTCTGTGACTCCAGTTCCAGTGGATCTGAAACCCTCACATAGACATACATGCAAGTAAACCAACAAATACATATAAAATAATAAATCACTAAAATAAAAAAAAACAAAACATGGAAAGCTGATTATTGTGGTACATGCCAGTGATCCCAGCACTAGGGAGACTGAGACAGGAAGACTGGAGATAAGAATGGATTACATGATGAGTAACCCATACGTGCTAGGGCTACTACACAGGAGAATGTCTCAAAAATCTAAACAAGCCTGATGTGGTGCATACCTAAAATCTTAGAACTTGGGAGGTGAAGACAGGAGGATCAGAAATTCAAGGTCATCCTTGGCTACATATCCAGTTAGAGGCCAGCCTGGACTACTTGAGAGCCTGTCTCAAACAAACAAAACACAACAAAAACAAAACAAGTGACGACAACAACAAATTAAAACAAGAGCACCTCCCTGGAGATGCCCATGTCCACACTTTTATCATGGCTGCTCTAGAGACAACATGGCTTACTTGGTACTTTGGAAGCTGCTCCTTAGAGTGCTGTAAGGATCCCCGAGAGCTATGGGAAGAGATGCTGCTGCTGCTGCTGCTGCTGCTGCTGCTGCTGCTGCTGCTGCTGCTGCTGCTGCTGACACTCCCACTTTCTTGACAGCACCTGGCTGACATTTTAACAGGGACATCCTCTGCTTTCTGGGATAAGAATGGCAGGCAAAGTAGAGGATCATCAAGTGTATCAGGCTTTTTCGACACTCTGTATCAAGTGGAAATTTGTCAAAAACATTCAGATGCCTGAAATGCCTTAAAAACCAAAAGCTCTGTTTAATTTTCCTTTATAAGACAAAAATATCATTCCTGGGAGTCTGGAATGGTGGGATGTTTGCATATATAAAGACATGGCAGACAGACAGATTGAGACAGAGAGACAGATGATAGACATAGCTTACTCTCTTTAAATAGTCTGTTAGTACTTACATTTAAATTTGTACTATAAAGTCATAAACAAACTACTCCCTGTTCTAGTTTTTAGGAGATTTTGGTATTATGTAATCTTAATGTATGGAACTGATGAGGAGAAAAATGACCACTAACGTTCAAAATTTTACCAACTAAATGTTACTGAGAAAAGAGACCAATAACCTGGGCAGGCGGGCGGGCTTGTGGTTTTCATCCTTCTTCTAACACTCCTTAAGTGCAGGGTAGGAAACCACCAGGATGAAATTGTGAAAGATGAAGCCCAAACCCTGAAACAGGAGCTACTGTGAGCCACAGGCAGAGCATGTGATGGGAATGTGGTCTGTAAAGGTCAGAGGTAACAGAGGATTATCTTCTTTCTATTCCCTGAAGTGTACACTGCTAATTTTTATGACAGTGACATAAAGGTGTATAGATACCCTCGGCGGCCACCAGAATGGAACACTCCCTACACAGCAGCCTTCATGAGGAATGACTTCTGCTGAGTCCCCTTTGCCTCCCTTTTCCCTTCTTAGGCAGCCTTTGCTTGGGAACCCTGAAACGCCACAGCAGTTTATCTAATGTCCAATGTGACAGTCACACTGGTGTATTATCTAATGCACATGCCTGCCATCATGTGCTGATTCAAACCCATGACGTTTGTGCTTATCAAGGGGGTGAGGCTGAGGAGGGGCTGAATGTGCTGGTTCACAGCAGGCGCTCCAGCAATGATGGAATCTGAAATTTACAGGGTTAATCCTGAGCATCCTGCATTCATTCCCTCAACATGCTCTTTAGCTCCAGCTGTTACTTAATACCACTTAGTAAGCCAGAAACCGCCGCTTAGAAGGCTGAAAGCTGGTGACAGGAAGTCCCACCTTCCAGTAGACAGGAGGAGTATAGGGCAATGAGCATGGAAGGAAACAGAAACAGCACCTGGTATAGTGAACCGGCTACCAATTGGTTCCTTCTGCAGGCTTTGTCAACCTACAAAAATGTTCCTGAGCCTAAGTTGATTTTTTTTTAATTAAGTGGTTACTTCTAAGAAAGCGATATCAGAGATTATCAAGTTATCCCTGCTCAGACATAACAACAACTCCAGCTCCCCCCAAAATCATTTTCCCTCTAACTTTGCCACCATCAACAGCTCCAGCGATGGGAGCTCAGCCATCTGTGAGAAACGCCTAGGTAGAGCCCTCTCCTGCCCAGCAAACAAAAGATCAAGTGCTGCCTCACCTAAGCTCCAGATCCCAATCTGGCATTGGAGCACACGTGAAATCATCTGAGAGATTTCTCAGCTTTCTCCTCCACCCACCTAACAAGCCCAACCACTGGTGTAATGATTAGCTGTCGGGCAGAATTCCTCCCTAAGTACTGCCATATCCACCCAGCTCAACTGCCTTCAACCAAACATTTCCTTCCTGCGAACAATGATTCTTATCAAAAGCTGGAAAATAAGAACCAGTGAGATGGCTCAGTAGGTAAAAGTACTTGTCCCACAAGTCTTGTGACTAAGTTTGATCCCCAGAACCCACAAAAAGGTGGAAGAAGAGACCAGCTCCACAGAGCTGTCCTCTGCATCCCACATGCAGGAAGTAACCCCCACAACCCCACAAAACCATTTCTAAGAAATAAAGCTGGAAAATGCTCACGGGCCCTGGTGAGACAAAGGGCATGCTATAACTGCTCGTTTACTTAACCCCAGTCTGTAGACTACCAGAATTTGGTCAGTATGGGAAGCAAGTAATTAAACAAGAAAAGAGTAAATAAATCATTGGATTTATTTCATCTGTAAGCATCAGAACACAGACTGAACTGAATGGCCTTAGCCATGAGACAGATTAGAGGTATCCTGGCTGGTATCCAAAGAGACCAGGGAGGGTAAAGTTCTTCTCACATTGTTTTTATCTTTCCTGGTCTGGATCAAACAGGTCAAGATTTTTCCTGTCTTCACTGGCCATCCCAAGTCCCTCTCCCTTCCCCTCCCACCATCCTCCTTCCTACAACAGAGAAATTAATGAAAGGTTCCTTGGTCAGAAGGGGTAAGATGACAGTGTACATTATATATTAAAGCCCTGCAGTGAGGGCCTTTAATTTTGTTTTGACCCTGTAATATCTTTGATTTATTTTGGTTTTTGAGATTCGGTCTTACTATATAGCCCAGGCTAGCCCCAAAGCACCTATCTAGGGCTGGATTACAGGCATGAGCCACACTTGGCACCTTTTTCTATGAGAAAATCAGGACAGAATGACCTTCTCGTCTGGCAAATACTCTAGCACTTTACGAATCTCAGCAATGTACTTACTATGCTCACTGTTTACAAAATCCTACCAGATTACAATCACCAGGAAATGCACCTCTCTTGATGACAATGGCCCACTGTTGGCCTACCATACTTGCTTGTTAAGTCTCCCCCATGTTCACAGACACATGCTTGCCTGTCAGGGTGCAGGTTTTGCTTGTTCTTCTGAATCCTTGCTGGCACTGTACAACACAGCTCAAACTGATCAAAGAGGGTCAAAAGCCTATAAGCATTTCATACCTGAGCTGCTGCCTCTTCCATTTTCTGAACGGCTCTGGAATCAAACATGACTTGTCTGCCTCTCCTCTCACAGTCCTGGTACACTATCAGGCGGATGTCACTCAGGTCAAACTCCGAACATGACCAACTATGGATTCAAAAGAGAAAGAAGCTAGATTATCTTCAATGCTTGGTGTCATCATAGGCAAATGCAGTTTCCAACCAGTGTGCCTATGTGCCAGTCAGAAAATGGCTGCGCAAATACTACCAAGTCTCGTGCTGAAGCTGACAAGTCTGGTGTAGTGGTAAATCACTGGAGAGAAAGAACTGCCTTCTAGGGCCAGTTTGGGCACAAATGGCAGAAAGAAGTTGGAAGGACACAGAGAACAGGCTGTTGGCTTTTCTGCCTGGGTTCTGGGGAAAGCACACAGTAGTTAAGGGCGTGCTTATGCTTCTATGGCACCAGGAGGGGAAAGCCAGCCACACACACACACACACACACACACACACACACACACACACACACACACACACACACACATACACACACGTCCCCCAGTTGGACCTGGCAGCAGTTACATAGTCTAAGGTTATGTCTTTCTCTAGTTATGTCTGGCTTGACACAAAGGCTCTGAAACCAAATGCATTTGCTAACCATGACCGTTAGCAGTGAGGGGGACACAGTTTGTTCCTACACAAAATTAATTAAGAAGAAGAAAATGCAGGTTTGTGCAGCAGTAACAAATTCTATCAGAAAGTGGAAAGTACAGAAAGAAAGTTTACAGCGTGTGCTTTCGGCACATGGTTAGCAATCCATTCAACACATAGTCTGTATTGTATTTGAGGCTCTGCAGTAGGTGCTAGGGAATCAATAATTAATCAAATGACTGAGTCCCTGTCCTCATGAAGTTCAAGGCTCAGTGGGAGATGTTATTAACCTAATGGTTACACATAAATATGTAACTACAAACTGTCTGAAGTTCAAAAAAGAAAACTAAAGGATACAAGAGTCTCAGAGCCTGACATACGTCTCAGGCTCACGTCTATTGGCTCAGCACAGGTCTATAAGACTCAAGGAATCTTGAGGCAGAACTGCTGAGGAGAGAGACCAGCCTGGTTCCAATGCAAGACCTTGTCTCCAACAGGGCAAGATTTAAGGAAAGAGAGAGGACTTAAAGCGACATGCAAATGCAGACTTGAAAAACCAACGGTTAACATGAATACCATGCAACAGAGTGTAGCACTGGAAAGCCAGGAGGAAACCCAGAGAGCTGCCCCCCTCCTCACCGCCACCCCCACATAGGGAAGCTGAGGCAGGCCCAGGCAGTCAAGGAAAGCAGATGGTTGATAAGAGATCAGATAGCTGACTGCTCTCAGAAAATCCGGAGGTGGTGGGAGTGGAACGCACAGGGAGCCAAGACGATTACAATGCCTGCTGCAAGCCACAGTGATCAGCAGTGGAGTCAGGGAAGAGACAGATTAAAGCAAAATCTGGAAGATGTGCCTGAGGCAGATGGGGTGCCAACTGCTCAGGCAGACTCTGCTATAGGACATGGGGGAGGACAGTGACAGGGTAGGCGACAGCAGGACAGGTGGATAAAGGAGTGACAAATGGACAATGTCAAAGTAGCAGACTGTGTAAGTATGGTCAGACACAGCTGGATTCAAACCCAAAAGCTTCTGCCCTTCCATTTTGAGTAGTTGATGTATAATTGCTGACTTCACAAACCTGCTGTGTGAGTTACATAAAATGTGTAAGGGCTTCATACAAGCCTGGCACACATGCTAAGCATTGTCTCCTGGGAGTGAGAAGGCTACAGTCTTGCAAGGAGCTGTGTGCCTTTGGGCCTTCCCTGTTTCAGGCAATGGCAGTTAATGCCAAGCATGTTCTCCAGGGGAAGTCATTTTGTTCTCTTAAACCCCCAACTGCAGAAAAATAGAAAGTTCTGGTCATCCCTTCTTTCACTAATGTGTTTTCTAAGTTGTGTCCCTCTGATGTGGAGCACTGTGGTAAATTTACTTTGGAAACCATTTTTCCTCTGCCCTCTGTCCAGAGGCAGCTCATGTTCAAGGTCTGGCCAATGGGACATGCCACATGACCCCAGGCTGCCAGGTGGCAGCCATCCCAACACATACAGCCCAGCCTGTAACTCATGGCTATTTACCATTAGTGGCGAGTGCCTGCTTAGTGCAGTTATTGTGAGGAAAGCAGAAGAGTAAGATATGAGATGGAGTCCTGCTGTCACTCAGGGTCAGCTGTCCCTGTGTATGCACTATTCCTGGAGATTTCTGTCAAAACCAGAAGTCTGGTGACTATGACCCAAACTGCCAAATTTTAAATGTATATATTTAAACTCTCTCTGGCTAGGTGTGGTGATGCATGCCTTTGGTCCCAAAACAGAGGCAGGTGGGTCTCTGTGAGTTCCAGGCTATCCTGGTCTACATAGTAAGCTCCAGGACATCCAAAACTATATAACAGAGAGACCTTGTCTAACAAAACAAAATCAAAATACAACAACAACAACAAAAACAACAAACCCTCTGAAATGTGTGTTAATGCACACAGGGCTGGGGCTACAACTCAGTAGGAAGGTGCTTGCTTAGCATTTGCAAAAGCCCTGGGCTCCATCCCAGAACCATAAAACAAACAATACATAGGGTGAAGTTATTACAAGTGCAAAAAAATAAAATAAAATAAAATAAAAAGCAAGAAGCCTTAGTCACCACTAGGTATGGTAGCACGAATTTTTAATCCTAGCATTCAGGAGGCCAAGGCAGGCAGATTTCTGTGAATTTGAGGTCAGCCTAATCTACATAGCATGTTCTAGACTAGTCAGGGCTACAAAAAGTGAGATCCTGGAGAGAGGGAGGGAGGGAGGGAGAGAGGGAGACAGGGAGGGAGGGAGGGAAGGAGGAAGGGAGGAAGGGAGGGAGGGAGAGACAGAGACAGAGACAGAGACGACTTAGTCTCCTTATAGTGTCTTGTACAATCCCTATTGCTCATAAGATTATACTCTGCCAAAGTGGCAAAGTTTACAAAGCCATTCTTGAGGACTAACAGTTAAACTTAATATCTCTAGAACTCAAATTCAATAACCATATTAAATTCATATTCTTTTTCAATTAGACAAGAGCAAGCTGGTCGGTAGGTGGTGCAGGCCTTTAACCCCAGCACTCAGGAGGCTGGTAGATCTCTGAGTTCAAGGCCAGCCTGGTCTACAGAGTATGTATATGAGTGTGTGTGTGTGTGTGTGTGTGTGTGTGTGTGTATCTCAGAATGCATAAATATTATTTTGGTTTAATATCCAATTAGCATTTTGGCATTTGCCATCTGGAACATTCCTAGAGGAAACTATCACCAAGTATGGCAAGTATCACCAAGTATGGCTTTGGAATGAGACAGGCCTGAGGCCAGACCTCCAGCTCTGCCTGCTTCGTCACCTCAGGAAGGTCTCTGGGACAGCACTTATAGGGAGAGACAATCTACAAAAACAAAAGAAAATCCGCTCCCTTAAGTTGCCCTCTGCCCTATACTTATGCGTCATTAACATGCACATAAACATATAAGCACTATACATAAATTTAGAAGGTGACAAAAAAAACTGTTTCATGGTGCTGTTTGCCAAGTTAGAATGGATCACCACACCAAGAGTACAAAGCAAGTAACCAAAGCATGAGTTATTTCCCTCAAGTATTAATAGCAATAGTGCAAAAGGATGTGAGGTACAGAAAATGCATCTCTTTGTAGTATATATGTGTCATAACCCCAGACTGGAGAGGCCGAAGCAGGAAGATTCAAGGTCAGCCTGGGCTAAGGAACAAGACCCTGTCTCAAAAGTAAGTAAAAACAAAATTTACACAAAAAGAGTAACATCTATATCATATATTGTAACAAAATTATGACTAGAACCGCGCCCCCCCCAAGGTGTATTGCAGTCCTAACTCCTGCAGCCATGAGTCAGACCTTGTTTAGAAATAGGGTTTTTGTTGATGTACTAGTTAAGGTGTGACCATGCTGAATTAGAATAGGTGGCTAATCTCATGACTGAGGTCCTCCTAAGAATGAGATTTGGACACAGACACAGGGAATGATCCACAGGAACCTCCTTCAGCTGAAGACAGCACATATGACAAAAGGGCAAATGGTGCCCTATCAAATTCTTGGGGACACTGAGTGTGTCTCCTGCTGGAGTCAGGTACCAGTCAGTTAGTAAAGCTGGTTTAAATGTGTATAGACTTTAAACACTCTGCCAAAGAATAGTCATTTCCCTTTCTAAGTGCTAACTTCAAGTTTTCAAGAGAGGGGCTGACATGATCTCAGGGAGAGGTCTGACATAGGCAGAGAAGCACATTCTCAGGGCAGAGACAGCACTGTCGAGGATCTCTGGTTTCCAGGAGGAACACCTTACAAGGAACAGAATGGCCATTATGTAGTTTGTGGCACATAATCTGCTACCCCCCACTGCCCAGACCAGTTCAATACCTCGTGTTTATGCCTCCCTTAAACTGTTACAATAATAAGATGAGCAGTGGCATAAGTATACCCAGGTCAGATCGCTTCTCCTCTTGGTCTCACACAAGGAAGCAATAATATATAGTCACAGTAAGCACGTGAATAATTTAAAGGCAGTCTTGTGATCCAACAATGTCAATATTTAAAGAGTCAGATATGATAGGGAAATTTAAATGAGCCAAGAAAATGTTATATAAAGCAAAACTGAGCACGTATGGTATCACAGGTATCACACCTATATTCCCAGCCCTTAAAAGGCTAACGTGGGAGAATCACCAGTTCCAGACAGCCTAGGCAACACAGTGAGACCCTGTCTTGAAAACACTAGTAATAACTACAACAGAAACTCACTGACACTCATCAACTTAATAGGCAATTTCTGCCAAGCAGTGTCCCAGGCACTGGGACAAGGTTGAACAGATTATGACCTCTGTTTCTATAAAACCTACTGTATCATAAGGATACAGCCCAACTGCTCTTAAATACCATTCTTTGTTTACAAACCTCACACCTTCCCTCCTCTCTCTTAAAAATCAGTTTCTAAATATAAACAGAAATCTCTCCAAAAGGTTGTTGTGGGCATGGCGGCACACACCAGTAATCCAAAGACTAGGGCAACTGAGAGAAGAAAGTCC